CGTCATCTACAAGAGTTTTTAGCTTGCAGCTCCACAAGTTTGTGAGAATATCTCAATTGCTCGCAGAAGGATGATCTCAGATCCCATAAGCATCTCATCTGCTGAACTGGTAGATATCTAGAAAGTTGCAGCATTTGCTTTTAAATACCATCAGGTCAAGTGTTTGTGAACGTAGAGGGGGCAGGCACTGTAACAAGTGGCTCTTGTAGGAGGGAGGAAAGTTAATGTGTGAATTTCCTAACGTGTACATTAGGAATCTTGAGGAAATATATACTTTTACATATTAAATTATGATCTTAGAGAATGAGATACTAAGCTGCCTAATAAAAAAAGGATACTTCAAAATAAATTGTATTAATATAGCTAATTTCATATTTCCAGTTCTGAGAAAGCTGCTGCTGTTGTAAATAAAACAAAAGGTAAGTTGCCATTTTTACATTTGACTAAAGTTTTTAATGACATACTAAGTATTAGTTTCTGGCATTTAAGAGCATTTGATGTGTTTGGTGGCTATTTCATTTCATGTTTAATGTAATGTCAAAGACTGGCTTTTGCCTTTTCATTTGCGGCTATTACTGACATGCAGCCTGACAGAATAATATTCTATCAGTTTGGTGGCTGCTGGTGAGAAGGTGGTTGTGAATTTGGAGAGGGTAGACTCCTGCTGGTGTAATAAGGTAGAAGTTTTGTAGTATTTCTGATTAATCTTGTTAGAGAAAAGCCAAAGGTTTGGATTTTCATCAATCATCCAAAAGCCTCAAGACATATTAGGGGAAAAACTGTCTTGTTACACAGAGTAACTTTCCCAGTCCTTAGTCCCCTAAAGGTATATTTGAAACCTAAATATGAAGTTGTAAAAAGTGAGAGAAATTGAAAAATGTTTCACCAAAATCTGCTTATTTCCCATGGCCCAGTAAACAACCAAGAAATTTTCTCCATTAAAAACTGTAGGGATTTGCCTTTTTTAAAGCCTGATTTCCTAGGAAAACGTGATTTATGCTTTTTCCTTGTTTTCTCTCATTCTTTCCTTACACATGTGCCAATAGTTTTTGAAATCATTGACCGATTACAGCCATGTTTGTAGGAGGGATAGTAATCTCAAAGACCGTAATGTTCCTAAAGGTTTTAGGATAATAGGCAAACTGGTAGAGGGAAACATGTGTCACTACCCTCTCTTGAGAGAGGGATAGTGCAATACGAGTTTGGCACTGACCTGTTTTTTTCAGCATGTGCTGGGCCTGTGTTGGATAGGAGAACAGGAGATGGCTGTATGTGCCAGCGGGGCTTGATGGGGCGGTCAGAACATTGGGCTGTTTTGGAAAGGGATGGGGACTGAGAATATAGGGACTGGTGTGTCAGAGGGACAACAGGAGGGGAAGCTGGCCTCTCATGGTGGGGGAGAGGAGAATAGAGCTATCAGAACTGTGCTTTACTGCCTGCTGAAGAACAGAATGATAAGCTGGTAAAATATATTTTGACCATTAACCAGGGAATTATTGTCCTGATGAAAATTAGATGATGCTATGTTTCACTGACTGCAGGGTTGCCTGACCCTTAGTTTGGCCTAGTAAGTAAAATAAATCCTTCTGAAAGTAAAAAGAGGAGCTTTAAGCTGTGATTAAATTCATATTTTCCCATTGTTTCAGGCAAAAAAATGTGGTTTTTTGGTGTATTTCTTTGAAAAGACTAGAACTTAGACCTTGCTTTCAGTAGTAAAGAGGAAAAGAAAGTGTAACTTGAGCTTAAGAAATAGGACATTTCCATTTAAAGGCCATAGAGAGTAAGTGCTTTTAATAGTGTAGAGATAAAACTGAAAGGGTGCCATCCAAAGATTTCTGTTTATACCAGTTACTGAATGAAATATGTCCATTAATAGCCAAAGAATAAGATTTTTCTCTCAGCATAAGAACAAAAGACAGTACCTCCCAAATGGGATTTGTTGTAAGCCCACTCCTCTGTCTTGTAACATTGACTTATTAGTTGAAAAGCAGAAGGAGCTGGACTTCTGTCTAGAATGACACTTCTCTGGTTCTTTCCTGTCTTGCCTATATTTGCATTACCTATTAACTATTATAAAGAGCAGACTGAAATTTACCTCATTATGTTCAACTTGTAAGATTTTTATCAAGTCTCAGTGGAGAATTGTAGTATGTCCTGCTGATAGGTTTAGAGAAACTTCTCATAGACTTAGTAATGGTGAAAGTGAAGAAAACATTATTAGCTTGCTACTTTAATTTCTACAGAATTCCCTGCTCAATAATGTCAAATATACTGAAGGCTTGAAAAGTAACCGAGATAATATTCACAAATTTTATAGTATTCACAAATCTTAATTCATTAATTTCAAGTATTAAAATACTTCAGTTTTAGAATATCATAATGGACTGCAAATAGTTAGGTGACTTTGACTTGTGCTTATTTTAAGGTAGTTTTCATAGCAACAACAAATATTCTAAAGGAAACCGGATTTTCCTCTGACTGTGAGTAGAAAAGCAAGTAGCAGCATGAATCACAGCTTCCAAGAACTGTATGGATAGGAATGCAGATTCTTTCTCTCACACACACACACACACACACACACTTTGCTTGCTGTCAATTTTAATGTAGTAATGTGATTTAATAAAGTTTTTCTTGCCATCCACAGCAGCAACATTCATTATATGTTAATCAAACTACTGCTGGCAGTTGCGTGGTTGAGGATGAAATTAGAGTTTGGAACTAGTATGGTAGTTCCAATGATAACTCTCTAACATCTCAGCACTTCTTGCTTAAAATATGTTTTCTGAAAATGTTTTTGTTGTTAAAATACTGTACGTCAGTTTTTTCCAGCTCAGAAGCATTAGTTAAACATTTTGTCCTGCACTAAAGCTTTGCATGATGTTTTATAGATAATAAGATATAGTTTCAGCCTTGAAGAGTTTGTGATTTGAATTTCACTGACATAGAAAGTGAGGAGAATGACCTCAGAAAGGGGGACAAGGATTCAAATGAATAAGTGAGTCATTAAACAAGTTGGCGTTTCTAAGAACAGAATAAGGTAGATCAGCAAGGAGGAAGATGAGAATACAGAAGCAAAAGACAGCATAAAGCTAGTCCAAATAGTATAGGGATTTGAAGGAAAAGAGGGAAAATGTGTTATTTTGCAGGATCTGGAAAGCATAATAAATTCAGAAGGGTAGTCTGAATCAGGATGAAGAGTAACAAGAAGGTGTTAGGAAATGGAACAGGAAAAAGATGTGTAGAAACTTACAAATTATGTTGATGGGTTTGGCTTTTGTGAAGAAAAAAAAGACGAGATGGGAAAAAGACTTGAGAACATGCTGGTTTGATCGGTTTGGCAGGAAAGTCAGGACACAAATTCTAGTCCTGAGGGGTTTTTTAACCCCTTAAGAAATTGAGCTGTCAATTTAATTTGCTTTTAAAGTGAGTGGCAAAACAACAGGCCACTGCCTGAAAATTCAATCTCAGGCATTCATGTTGCTCTGTCAGTACTTCCTATTGCACCTGTTTTTTGTATAAGCTGGAGGACTTCTTATGAGTTTCAGCGCAACTGATGTGGGGCTGTAGAAGCTTCTAACATCAAAGGTAATTGACGCGCTACCACTTCATCTAGGTCAAATGGATCACAAACTTTTTTCATTAAAATAACTTAAATTGCTTTTCAAAATTATTTTAGTTAAACTGGTACTACCTTTATATGGACAATTAAATTTATAGTTTGTTTATATTGAGTTGTGTTAATCTTTGTATTGTTGGCATAAGAAATGAAAAATAATCTCCCATAAACTTGTATAGATTTTTTAGAAAAAATGGCACCTAGACACTTTTCCTGCCCCATAGAGTATAGTTTGTCATTTCTTATCTATATACTGGTATTTGATTAAAAATGTTGATTTCTAACATTAGAATATTTCATTTTACTGTATGGAAAAATAGATAAGTAGGTGATAATGGTCTACCTTTCTTATCCCATTAGGCTTGTCCAGTAGACCTTCTTCAAACATTGGCATTCTTCTTACCCAGCTTGACAGCTGCTTCTTTCTATGTTGTATGTACTGGGGGACAAAGTGTTAAAGAACAGGGATTTTGAAGTTCCTGTTTTTTTGTTATCTTATGTCAAAGGAAATCTGCCTGTCCTTGCATAGGATGGAAGGAAATAGTTTAATGTATACCTTAAAGGATCTACTTTGTCACCTGGGATTACTGAATAGAAAGTATCAATAGTGATAACTAGCAGTGGTTTTGCCAGCAGGATTGTCAGCAGTGAGATTATATTACCAAATTGGTGCATGAGTATTTAAAACACAGCACTGTATGTAGCAATATAGAATTTGTGATCTGTAGTAGACGGGGAGCTATTTGTGGAGTAAGTAGCATGTTTGTGTATAGAAATCTCTATTGTATAGTTAGCTTCTGCTCTGTACAGTTTACTGAAATTAGTTTTTCATTAGTGAGGGGAAGATGTTTGAGTCTTTCTTATGTTGTTGTGTGCCATGTTCTCTGAGAGTTTTAAACTGTGTTCTGAGGTAGATCACATGTCCTGTTTGAACCATAGTACACACACAGTTAAGATTGTATTGATGTATTTTCTTTCCAGAAATTTGCTTCGTGTATTATTGATGTTCTGCAAGGTCATAATATAGCCCAAAGCAATTGTAATATAATAACTGTAATATTAATGTTTCGTTAGGCAGTGTTAGAACTGTAACTTTAATGTTACCATTAGGCTGTTGCATTTGTCTCACAGATTTGGATTTCAGGCAGTGCCAGAGCTACGTAAAAGGTGGTATGCATTTTTGAAGTACTCCTTTGTGTGTATTTACTTCATTATGTTGATAGAGGAATTGGAAAGTGAAATTGTGGACAGTTTAGGGATGGAAATAAAGTGACTGAAATGGCAGGGGAGAAAACAGAGCAGCAATCAAGGGCTCACCTCTAAAAGTTGTTTTGAATGGATTCACCTTTATAGAACTGTGGGATTTTTTGTTGTTGTTTTTCAGAAGACTGTGCCAAAGACTTTTGCTCAGATGACATCACATTTGGACTACTAATGCCATCTACCCACTCGACACGGCACAATGCATTTCTAGGTAATTTAAGTAAGTACGTAGATATTACTGCTACTAAAACAGTAATGCTTTAACCAGAAGCATCTCTTTTTCAACCTCAGGCAAGGCAGACATTCCACTTCAATCTGAGATTGAAATTAATGTTGTGAGGGGGCAAGAATAAACTTCAAATAAACTTTTAATAAGCTTTCATCCTGTACACTGGAGCATGGAATGAAACAATTGAACTAACTGTACCTGAGCTGCCTTGGAAACTAGAAGGAAAAAAACCCCAACGTCGTGATGGCACTGTCCCCAGCAATGAAGTCTGCTAATGTGGCCCTGTGGTTTCTGGAGACTGAATTAATATCTCTCCCAGTGATGTGTTACAGTGAATGAGCATATGTGTTGCCGTGCTCACAGCTTTATTGAGTGGTTTAGGGGTTTTTTTTGTTTTTTTTTTTTGCGGGTGCTCTTGTTAAAGTGGAGATGGGCTTAATACCCTATTAATGTAAGAATGTATAGAAAGCAAAAGAATGCAGCTTAATAGGGTCAAGTAGCAATATCTCTGTCATCTCATTCGCGAAAGGGTTGCATTTCCCCACTTCCTTGATTGAACACTACGTACTATCCAGCTGAAGATGGGCTAGGAAGTACAGATTTTCATCTTTGCAAGATTTGCCTTATCTTGCAGCAAGGTTACCGATTGCTTTGTACATCTGTGGTCATGCAAAGAGAAACACATGACAGGGTAGTTTGTTTAAGGTTCATCTTAGGAGTGACAAAGGGGTTTTGATTTGATGTATCATGAGGATCACGGCCATGGCCCCCTGTAGCCTCCATGTATGTGTTTATATGCTTTTTCATTGTAAGTAGATACTACTGTTAAAGTTTCAGATGTTCCATTGTTTTTTTGACTGGGTCAAAAAAAACCCCAAGAAGTGGATCTATTTAGGTAGATCAGACATTGTGCCAATCTTGCTGAAACTGGATTATTTTGTCTTGCTGGCAGAAAGCCTTCCTATAGTACTGATGGCTTATCATGCATTGGAGATGTTTGGTTGTGCATGAAGCTTGATCATGAATGGAGTTACAGGTAGCAGTGCTTGTAGTTAGTGATGCTTGACGCTTTCTATTCTAAGACCCTGGTTTTAGTTGCTTATAATTTGGCAAGACTTGAACCATTGAGCAGTAATTCTTTGCATTATATATCTGCTTCAGCTAAAACTTTACCAAAAGTCAGCTTGTGCCTGAGAATGAGATGAGAGCGAGGAATGTACCTTTTTCTTGATTCAAAATGCGCTGAAGATCTTACCACTGGAAAGATAAAGCATCTGCATATGTTAGAGCAAGCACTCAAGGTTTTAGGAGAAAACGTAAACTGTTAAACTGCAGTATCAGGCGCCTTTTTTTTTTTTTTTTGTGCCATCCCGAACTCTTACATTAGGCGGCATGATAGATTTCTGAAAATATGGTTTGTACCAGTTCAATGATTTGCCTAAATCCATTTCATCTGTCCAAATCAGATGAGGTAGATATATTCCAAATCCTTTTAGTCATAACCAGACAGAGCTACTGAGCATGTTCTAGCTGGACTGTGAGAGGTAAACAGGCCTAATCTCCTCCACTCCATTGTAATGCTGGGTACAAACACTGAGTAAGGAGACTTTCTTCTGCACTCCTTGTGCTTTTCCTTAACCGCATTCCGCATCTACTTTTGATGCTGTCCTTCAAGTGCTGCTTCAATAGTATATTCCCATAACTGTTGTGCATTTGTGTTTCAACTTTTCTATATTCTCTGATTTTCTTTATTGCTGCTCTTGTGTTCAGAACAGATCATAATAAAATAGATTGTTTTGAACAACGCATACTGTGTGTGGTTAAAAGTTACAAAAAACTTCTTTTTGAGCATCCTGGAAACTTATGTGTGCTGTGCATCTTTGCTGTTGCTTTTAAAGTAACCTTTTTAGACCATGAGGACCTGCTTTGTTTTATTAAGAATTTGTGTTTTCCAGGGCATACTTCAACTTCATTTACTGCTTGTCTCTCCATGGGCTGTTTTCCTTCACCTTTACATTTTCATTAGTCCTTTTACTTGGGTTTCTTCCTCAGCTTTTTTAAAAGTTGTGCTGAAAATCCTCAGTTTAAAACTGTTCTTAAGTTACAGAACTTTTGTATTTACTTATATAAAAACATCATCTTAATGTTTTTCATAGAAGTATGAAAAGCAAATAACTAAATAGAGAGAAAATACTTTTGACACTAATTTGTGGAAATAGAAGAGAGATTTGAAAATTGTTGTACTCTTTCTCACTGATTTGTGTGCATGTGTGAGTGCTTGCAGTAGTGCCTCGGTGCCTCTCTGGAAACGTGCCCATGTCACTACTTGTGCAAAAACATGTTTACTCAGAACAGTGAAATCAAACCACTCTCTCATTCGGATTTGTTCTTATACACCTGCTGTAGCAGTGCAATGAATAAGGAAGGAGTAGCAGCAGGACAATCAGAGCCCATCCACAAGGAATGGGAAATACGGTATCATACAGCAGTTAGTTATCTTGGTTGTAATTATTGGGGCTGCTCTGCCTATCACAGTAAAGAAAAATTGCAACTCATTAAATCAAGATTTGTTTAAGAGGCTATAGAAAGCTAATGATCTGTAAATGGTCTCTTGGTTCCTAACTGAGATTTAAGGAAAAAAAGAGATTGTTTCTGAGCAAGCTAAGAGATTATCCTAGGTTTTATGTTTGGATCAGAGGAGTTGACTTAATGAAATAAAGTAGTGGAGTTGCTGACCAAAGCAAAGATATGCCCTGGGCCAGGCAGAGAGGAGGGAGAGGTGCTATGTGGGTGAAGTCACCACCCTGTTTATCTAAAGATTCAAATTATAAAACAGATGAAGATAGACTTACAAGACAGGCTGGAGACTTCTGGTTCCACTTTGTTTTGCTGAAACTAGAATTTATAGTGTGGAGGATGATCTTAACATTTCCACCCCTCCCTTTTGCTTATTATAGGATGGCACTGAACTTCGTTTTCAAATATTTTGGGTTTTTTGTGTTGAAGTGACCCAAGAACATCTAGTGTTCATGAGTTACAGGAAGATGGAATCTGTGTTCAGTATAGGAGTAAATGGAACGATTTATTGCTTCTTAGATTTTTATGGATTAAAAATGTAGCATTGAATTAATATTAAAATTCTGTGATTGCTTAATAGGGTTTAAAAAAATCAATGGAATAAGTTGTATTTAATGTTTATGAAAATTTCTGCTGATTTTTTTGTTATTAAAACCAGAATTACTTACAGACTCTGGGTTTTGCTTTGAAGCCCAGGTCCACACAGGAGGAAGCTTCTGAAATGAAAAGGATTGTCATTATACTTAAAATTTTCAACTTATGTACATGTGAAAGTTTGTATAATGTTGTTTTGTGGTTTGTGTTTTGTTTTTCTTAAAAGACAATTTTTTTTAGGAATTGCTTTAAAGAGATCTGATTTTCTTTTCATCTAAATTTTAGCAAATGCAGAGTGAAGCCCATTCTTTCATTTGCAAAAATCTTCTGGAAAATTACTTGGATGTTGTATATTGAATGTCAGTGAAACTAGGTGAGTCTGAATATTTTGATTATTCTAAGCAACTAATGAGTTACTCGTGTGTGACAAAATCCTGTTTATAACTTACAATGCTAAGAGAAACTCTGGCATTTAACCTAAAATCTAGAAGATTAAATTATTATATAAACAGATGACATCGCTCAGAAGGGGGAAAAAAAGGCAAAGATTAAGCAATATATTCCTGGCTTTACTCCTAAGGTAAAAAGCTGTGTGTACGCCCAGATATGTTTTTATCTACTGTTTCTGCAATGAAGTTCTTCCACAACATAAGTTGCTTGATTAGTTTCCCTTAGCATTTCTGTATTTGGTGTTCCTGTGGCTGTTCTCTGAGGTGATGTTTAGAACCAGGCTAATTTCAGTGTTACAGTAGACTAATATTCCTGTGTCACTAATCTGATTTTTCTCAATTCACGTAGTTGCTTAGCACTGGATTTGGAGATCAATTTGAATGATTAAAGCAAACACATGTTTTAGCCCTTTAGCCCTTTTCAATTTTGAGTTAGGGCAAGTTAAATCACAGTGGTAGTGCTTACATCCCTGTCTGTCTACACCATCTGAATTTCCGAATAAAAACCAACCTTGACAGTTCTGTCTGAAAGTTCACAGATGCCAGAATCTTTAGTTTTCTCTTGCTGTATATAATAGCACAGGTAATAGGAGGAAATAAATAAATGAGAGAAAAATCTGAAAGAAATAAGGGGGAAACAAGAAAAGAAGTAAACTATTTAAAGGGGAAAAAAAAGACATAAAAGATGGAGTGAAGAAATGAAGAAAAGAGAAATGAAGCCAGGGTGACAGGGGTATCCAGTTTTATGTCTTCTGCTGAATTCTGGAATAGGGGAAATAAATTCTTTTTGTGGTAGCCAGTAGATTGCTGTGTACCATGATCTCTTTCTTTTTTTTTTTTCTTTTTTTTTTTTTTTTTTTTTTTGTGGCGAGGAGTTACGAAGAAAAGCTTACAGAATTGTTCTAGAGTCTTTCAGTGCCCTCAAGTATACTGTTTTGTGAGATGACACCTGCTTTGGTTAGTCTGGTCTGGAAAGGTAGGATACAATTCGAGTGCATGCGTTACCATTTTGATTTGGATCATTAATGCTGTTTTGGAGAAAATCTTTCAATTATCTCCCCTTACCATGTACTTGCTCAGGGTGTTTGAACTACATTCCCTTTCCAGAAAACTAGTTTGTAAGTTCTGCTGCAGGTGCAAATTGCTCTTCTGTCACTACTGGGGACATACAGGTCTGAATCAATTATTAAATCCCTGGAAAACTTTGAATGGCCTGTGTGACGGTGATGTTTGCTTCTGGAGAGCAGATGAAATCTAATCCAAAATAAACCCTCTTGAACAGCTAGCATAAGAGTGTCAGCACCAGCTGCTTTGATCTACTGATCCATTTCTACTGTTCCAGATTACTTGCTAATGGAGACATAGCCAAAATTGTTCACTTTGGTTATAGGTCAGTAGATGAGGGCAACGAACATCTGTGATATGTATCTATTTTACAAATCAAGTTATATGTTTCAGTGCTAATATTTACAACTTTCAAAGTGCCATGAATGTTCTTTGCAACTTTTGTTGATACCAACTGTCAAGGAAACAAATAAATACTACAAGTGACAGTGAATCAAATGACTAAATCATAACTACCTTTTGAAATTTTTATCATTTAGTTTGCTTTTCTTCCCTGCTTATATTCTTAAATTGTTAAAAATAGGAGTCTTCTGATTTCTTTCATTTCATGATTTACATGTAGAATTCTAAAATTTGTATACTTTCCACCCCAAGTGTTTTGCTTGGGCTGCTCATCTGCATTGAAAAAAACCCCAAGTCCAGTGTTTTATTGCAGTCATTAAGTAGGAGCAAGACAAAAAATGAAAAAGAGATGGTCTTCACAGGTGTTTGCAGTTATTACCATCTTTCTGTGCATTGAGCTGTCATGAATCCAGACTTATTTTTTCCCTGGACTAAATTCCTCAATTTGAGATTGTAGATGGCACTTGTTAACGTTTTGAAAATTTAAGTAATATTTAGTTGCCAATGTTAAATCATTTCATCTTGAAGTAACAGTTATAAGAGTTCTCCCCATCTGCCCCATGGAATTTTAAGTTCAGAGATTCCCAATAATTTTTCACACTTACTGCTGGTGTAATAGCCCACATGTCTAAGCCAATGATTAGGACTAAACTCAGTTACATTTCTTATTTATTACATCTTTGCAGAATCAAGGCCTTAGCTTTCAGCACTTCAGAAGATTTCCAAGATTCAAGTAAGATTTCTCTTGATAGGGTTGTTTAAAACAATAGCCTTTTAATATAATCATTTAAAAAATATATATAAGGCTGTAGCAGCACAAGTATCAGCAGCATTTTGGATAACTTTTTTTCTAATTGAAGCCAGTGATTTTTTTTCAAACCAAATTATTTGCAGTGTTATTTAAGTTGTTTTTATTCAGTTTATTCCCTCATGTTGTAACTAGCATAAACATATTATAAAAGTTAGCATACTTTATTCTCCTAGGCTTAAGCATCTCTCCTTTCAATTTGTATAATCCTTTCTAAAAGAGCAATTATTACTGACACGTGAGTATGTAGCACTTTAGCCCAGGGAAGTTGTTGAGTCACCATCCCTGGAGGTATTTAAAAGACGTGTAGATGTGGTGCTTAGGGACATGGTTTAGTGGTGGACTTGGCAGTGTTAGGTTAACGGTTGGACTTGATGATATTACAGGTCTTTTCCAACCTAAATGATTCTATTCTATTCTAAAAAACCAATGCATTAAGTAAAAATCAAAATTTAGTAGTTAACTGCTTCATATAGCAGCTTCTGGAGACAGCCTCATTGTAGCAGGTACAAGCCTCAATTTAAAATGAAGAAAAATGTTGAGAGTCAAAACGTGAGAATTGTAAGCCGGCAAGTTATGACGAGTCCTCATTATTTTAAGTAATCTTGTCTTAGGAATGTTGCACTGTTATGTTGAAGTGTGTATTTCATCTTCACTGTATTTGCATGTTTGTTAATGTGTTAGGCATAACTAAACTGTTCCAAGCCTTAATGTATGCTTAAATACAATAGAGCTGTTTTCATTAGCCTGTTAGCATGTGGCCTCAACATATAAATTATATTAGTTTCAGGATTTCCTGTGAATATTGATAGCTTTTGGAATCCCATTCCTTGATACCAGTGTTAAATAGGCTACTAGCAAGATCCTAGGTCATTGAAACCATATTCACAATGTTCTGAGCAGAAGAGAATTGCCACTGAAAATAAAACCTGATTATAGTTTTACTTTTTGATAACTGATATATTAATTGAAAAATTGAATACCTATAATGCCTTTATAAATACTTTCTTAATGTTACTTTTCAGGACTTAAGTGCTGGATAACCTAAGTCAGGTTCTGTTAATAAAGTGGGGTAAGAGCATATAAGAGGGTGGATTACCACATTTGCTTTGATTTAAAATATTAATTGTAAAATACATCTAGTGCAACTTGATTTTTAACTAGGTCCTACTTGCTAGTTAAGATGGCAGTCTTTTAAGCAGTGCTAATTTTAGCATCTTCAGTAATGACCTGGAAGGGAAGGCTGTAAATATTTGCAAATAAAATATGGTGATACTAATCTGGGAGGTGTTGAGAACTTGAGAGTGCAGAGAAGGCTTTGAGGGGCAAGCAGTAAGCATACCGAGACGTGTTTTGGTAGATAGAAATAGTGTGGTCTGATCATTTTGTGAAAGAAAAGCTTGAGAAGTGGTAAAAGAGAAAAAGAAAAAAAGCAGAGGAAAAGAGTTTAAAGTCATGCAAATGTAGTGAGTATGGTCCCAAGTAGTTGATATGATTTTGCGTTGAGTATTGTAGATGGTAAAAAGGAATAATAGTTCTCACATAAATAACTCTGAGGACTCATTTGAAACTTTTTAAAGTTTATGTGGAAGTATCAGGACAGAATCTGAATTTCCAAAAATACAAAAAGGAGCTGAATTTGTGACCTTTTCCCCAGAAACCTAATCTTGAAAATTCTTACCTCAAATATGGTAGCAGCAAAGCTTAAAAAAAGCTTGGCTTAGAAGTTCCTCAATTATATTATGTTTTATGTCTTTCAGTCAATAACATGATCTTAAAATATTTTTTAAAGAGCTGGAGGGGATGGGAAATAATTGACAGAATTTTTGCTATGAGTGTTGAATTGTTGAATTAGTCTGCAAGGTCCTGAAAGACTTCATTAAAAAAATTCCCAATGCTTGAAGAGTAATATTGTCATCATAATTAATCAACTTAATTTACAATTAAGTTGACTGGGCCCAACATTTTGAAGAACATATTGATCTATGGGAACAAGGAATTTTTTTGGTGGTCTTTCGCTGCTTCTCTGGTGACCCTCAGAAGGTGAATTAAGTAGGTTTTCTGGACTTGCTTAGTCAGCACAAACTTTGAAAGTTTCTGCTCATGTCAGTAGCAAGCCACAAAGGAGGATTGCATGCTGCTGCTGCTCAGGAGAATGAAGAAAGAATTTGAGCAAATTTGGTATCTATATAAATTGATCATGTTTTAGAAACAGAATGCTAAAAAACCAGCTGGTTAAATGTTACAGTGCTACTTCAAACTATAATTTTCCTTTGAACGGTGTTTACTGAACATTCAGAAATTCTGTTCTGTTCAGTGCTCTAATATTTGAATACTTAAGTAAAGATGTTCTTCCTTTTTTATTTCCATATATATGAGAATATATATGCAGAATGATTACAGTAAAATTACATTAAATTTAGAGTTGACTTTGTATGCTTTTTTCTATTGCTGCATTGCTGTTTCTGCTTAGTTCATGCAGTACTATTCCTTTTGTTAAAATAATGCACCATCTTTCTTGCCTGAGCAAGTCCAATTATTGACTAAATGTTGGCTGATGTTCCATTTCCTTTTGATTCTTGCTTATAGCAGGGTGGTGAAAGGATACCTAACACCTATCCCCAAAGTGGTTACAAAGTCTTTTGCAAAGTTTCCAGGGACAAGAAAAGTAAAGTTTTTCTGCCTTGGTTTTGTCCATTTTTTAGCTAAGACATTTTCTCTCTGTACCAATTGCAAAACTTTTTTATTTTGTTTTGGTTTGGGTTTTTTTCCTGTTAAGGCACTTCTTGCGTATGTAATATGAAGGACTTATCCTTTATCTCGGGTTTTGCAATCACTGTAATTCGAGTTGAGGCTGGATTGTTATATTGAAAGTTCTGACAAAAGGGTAAGTCTAGTGTTTTGTTTAATGAAATTAAGGAGTAGTGCAATGCAGGGGTTTGGAATTCTGTAACTATAGTATTGATTTTTTATTTAACGTATAAACTTGCTCTTTCTGTAACAGGTAGTTCTATTGGGGGAAAAACTGAAGGATCCACTGGTAGGCACCAGAATTTTAGAAAAGTAAGTCTTTACTTTTGTTAAATCTTGTTAATCTTATGTATGTCACAGTAAACATGCTAATACAGAAGTGTATTTTGCCACATCTTTTTTGAATACACTGAAGTTAGCATCCCCTAGCATTTCCCTTGTTTAGTTTTGTTCTAGTTTTCTACTACCTCATTCTTTTTTCTTTTGTTATCACTTTTGGGTCTCCAGGATCATGTGCAGGACTTCTAGGGGAAAGGGATGGGGGAGGCAGGGAGGAGGAGCTGCTTTTTGGTAATTTTTGACATGGACTGTGCTTCAGTGTTGGAGCTTAAAATGTTCCTACCCTCTCATTTTATGGAAATGTGAATGTGAAGTCTCACTTCTTTCTTTTTGAATATGCTTTCCAGTGAAGTTCACTGCCTACTCCATTTTTCGGGCAGTCAAAACAGTCCAGTCCTCACAAAAGCTTTACAGAATAATTTAGCTGTGCATGAGTCACCCGCAGTGGGAAATCTAAGTATCAGAAGCACTTCCACAGCTGCACAAATCAAGGATTGTGCAATCAACTTGGAAAAAAAATAATGCCTATCACTAAATATTTTTAAAGTGTTTTATTTACATGTTTGTATTTCTACATGAGATGGATAATTAAGTTTCAGATTAAATATTAGCTTTCTGAAACACCTGTCACTTGTTCTTGGGTGTTGCTGTTAGCAACTGTCCTAATCTTTTTTTATATATGTCCATTTGGTACACTTTTACAATTCTAAGAGTTACAAATAGATGCTGTTGGTATAAATCATTCTTTCATTAAATTTTCTTAGTTTCATATTATTCATTTAGGTCAATACCCTTGTATAAGTATCTATACTGAGAATCATCTTAAAACAGTCACAGTTCATGCTAATTAACATGTTATTTGATAGATAGGTTGGTAACTACTTAGCAACATGTCAGGTATATATATTCCTGTGCTTTACATTTTGCTTGAGTTTCCCATTGACTCTAAGGCTGAGTTCTGGATTTATTTTCATATCCAGAAGCTGATCCATGAGTCCAGACCAGTGTATATGAACAAAACTCATTCTGTCCAGAAATTTCACTTGTCATGGGTTGCCACATGAGATGCAGCAATGCATGGGAGAGTACAGATGTTTCATTTAAATATGGAGCAGACTTATCAAGTAGTAGCTACAATGCTCGTTCCTTTGAGCACAAATTTGAATCTCATTTTTCCTAATTTTGTTCTCTGGTTGTAATTTAACACGTGGTGTAGGTCAGCATGAAATGGCATTGTTGCCAGAAGATGTCTAACCTGGTGATTCACTGCTTCCCCTTCCCCTGTGCCAACACAGTTTTTGAGCAGCCATATGGTGAAACAAATGTAGTTGATTTAGCTGAATGAAACAGTATTTGGGTTAGTTTTAGGCTGGGCCACTTTTAGGCTGTGTTGACTGTGTGATCACAGATACTAATGCTAGCAGAAGAGAGGGAATTTAATATAGGTGTGGAAATGAGTGGTCAAAGTAATGATCAAAGGCTAACACTATGAAAACATTTGTCTTGACCAAGGAGTTTGGTAAAAGTGCCTACAAATATAATTTAACTGTTAGGGTGTGAAGTGCCTAGTTATCTGTAGCCATGTAGTTACCTGCATGGTCTATGTATACATTGGTCTTGCTATCTTACATGTGGTAATTCTTCATCTGCGGACTGATTGAGAGGAAATACTTCAGTCTGTTTCTCCCACGTTCTAGGCGAGTACCCTGTCCATGAGTTAGGAATGTCTTTGTCTCCTGTTTAAAAAAAAAAACCAAACCCCAACAAAAATTGAGTTCATTTCATCGAGTTGCCTGGCATGGCATGCTGCTTTCCCTCTGCCCCTCCACCTGGTTTTAGTGTGCGCATAACTAAGAAGCGGTAAGATGTTTCTGGATGTGCTAGATAATGGTGTCTTAAAGGAATAACTTGTTGATATGAAATAGTTGGTTGTCCCTTAAAAGGTAAGGTGAATTATAAATCAAGCAAGACTGGTTTTAAGACTCATGCTATATGCTTAAAATTTCTCCTAAATAGACTATAAAGGCATTGGGTGCAGAAATAACTTGCATAACTTCTTACTGACCCTCTTGCCCATCTGTTGTCTTGGATTTCTGAAGATTTTTATAATGCAATAGTGAGAACAGAACAAGAAATTTTGACTGAAGGTGTTTAAAGATTAGTTAGTATTCTTTACGTAAGAAGTATAAGTGTTTGTTTAGATATAAAAGCTAATAAATCTTCATTGGGTAGATTTTTCTGGTCTAGGATAGGATTCTGGAAAGATTCATTTGTGTGAATTTCAAAAACTGCTTGTTAGCTACCTTTCCCACCTTGCAGCACACACATGCATACTGAAAGTCTGACAGACAAGGTGCTCACCTAACATGTATGTTCATGTTTTTCTGCAAGATTAATTGTAGTGGATAGCTGAGTGTTGCTGCAGTAATGATAAAGTCTCATTTTCTAAATTTAAACATGAGTTTATATCAACACCAAACAGAAATTTAGTATGCAATGGAAGAAGAATTTTCTTGGCATTATCTTGCTTTGAATGTGTACTAATTATGTCTGTTGAATTTGACAATTTTTTCCAGGACAGTTTTCAAAAATTAGTGTACTTTCTATATCTATACATTCTTCCCTCTTACTACTGGGATAGAGGAAAAACAATGTTTAACTCTTTGATCTGTCTCATTTCTTGGTAAATTTTCTTGTGTAGGAATAAAGTGTTTGATAAATTTTTCCCCTTTGGTTAGATTTATTAGTATTCTTGGTATTATTTATCCTCTCAGGAAAATAATGACAAACCATTTTAGACAAATTGTTGTTTAAACTAACATCTGTACACGATACAAAACTTTTAAAATTGCTAATCCTCTGTTTGATAAATGTGCCCATTTGTAATTGGATGAATCATTTCAAAGTGTTGTTAACTCCAGGATAGGTATCTTGGTACCCTATTTTAAAGTTTTTCCTTAAATTTCTGTTAATACTGAGAAATCGTCAAGTGGGCAACTCTTTTTTTTCTGGTAATTTTATTCTGTAGAAAATCATTGTTTTGTATGTAGCAGATAATTTTCTGGGATAATGAGTAATATTCAGTGGGAATTTAAATTTTTGAGCATGTGTATGTGGTATTTTTCCCCTTTGAACTTCTGAAAAAAACCCTGTCAATTGCCTACCCTCTCAGTTCCATTTAAGAGGCTGAAAGGAGGAAGCTGGGATTTTATTTGTTCGTTGTAAAATATGGCAAGTTTAGATGCCTCCTGAGAGAGAATAGCAGACTCTCCAGATTTTACACCATCTACAACACTTATTCCGCAGCATGGTGAGTGTTAATTTAGAATCTGTTCTTGAGCTGGCTGGCAGCAGGTTGTTTCTGCCCAGAATCCCATTAAAGGAAATGGAGATATACAGAGATGTGAAGATTTTCAGTTTTGAATTGTAACACTAACCGGTTAGCTTCTCTTGATTAAAACTCATGTTGTGAAGTACTGGGTTTTTGTTAAGCACCATTTCAGGAGGCAGTAGCTGTGTTTTTCAGCCAGGCTTGATTATGAGCTAAATTGTATTTTAGATGTGCAAACACAATGCATGCTCTTAAGTCTAACCCATGGTTCACTGTTACAGATCCAGCAGTGGCAGATGTACTTAAGAGGTTCCTGCTCCTTTTTTTAGAGGGGTACTGTTTCTCAGCTGTGCCAATTTTCAAAGGTGCTTGAAGCCACACAAGATAATAAAGATTGTATTTAAAACTGTGTGATATGTGGGTTATTTTAGACACATTTCACAAATCTGCTTCAGTGTGTGGCCAGAGCTAAAGGGATGCGGACCTCCAGTGAGAGCCAATGAAGGGTGGCAAGAAGCAGGATGGAGGCTTATAAAAATGGGTGCAAATGGAATCGTAATGTGTAGCCACAGTCTTTCTCTTGTACAGACTAGTTGCACAGGATTTACAAGCATTATTTCTGCCACACTTACGGCTTTGTTATTGAAGGAAGGGGATCTCCAGTAAGGAACTGTAAATACAAAGGACTGAGAAAATATTTTACATGAGAATACAGAAGAATAGCAATTGTTTCTGACGGCCAGGTCATTAAACACTGCCTTTCAAATTTAAGTTATAAACTTAGTTAGGTTTGTACTATTTTTTTATTATCCTTTATGATTTTCTGGGACAGGGACCGTGTTCACTGACAAACTCTGAAAATCAGTATTATAATCACTTTCTTTTAATATATTTGTTAATAATTTGAAGGGGGCCCATAAACAACACTTCAGGTATCTCTAAATGTAGTTAATTTGGATCCTATAAGGCAAAGAAAATACAGGCAGCCTGGAAAGGAATGGATGGGGAAAAAAGCCTGGTTAGTGCTTCAGCACCCCACAGCCAAGGACCAGTTATTACAAGCCTGACAACCTGCTGAGTGCTTTCCTGGTTACTCTCAGGGAGCTGGAGGGGCAGGCTGCTCCCAGGGGAGGGCAGCCAGGCTCAGGCAAGAGCTCAGATCACCAGCAAGTTCCTGGTGAGGAGGCAGGTCTGAGGATGAGTTGAGAAGTCAAATCAGCCAGATTAGTGGGGTACGTGGCCAGGCATGGGCCAGGCTTGAATGTAGCCCAGGCGAAGAGACTGAGCTTCTTGCACATACCTTCACTGCAGTCTAAACCAAGATTAGAGAGCTGCACTGTATTGGGGAGGGAGCTGTGGGCCCATCTCTGTGGTGAGGAAGGGGAAGGAGATGCAGACTCCAGAGAAGATTGGAAGAGTGGCAGCAGAACAGCTGGTCAAGCAGAGGTGAGCCCAAATGATCTGGAACAGAGGAGTGGTGGGCAGGGGTGTTTTCTTTAACCATGAGCTAGAGAGATGGAAATTGCAAACTGGATTCAGTCCCAAGTTAGGGAGCAAAGTTCTCTCCCAATGGCAGGACAGTCTAGTGATGAAGAACTGATGAAGAATGCAGGAGAGAATTGCTTTTTCCTCTAATCCTCATCATCCATGTTTCTATGAGGATATTATTTACAGTGACTTTTAGCCAGACTTGTCAGAGCAGCTTGCTTAGGTCCATTACCTTTGCAGGGAGTAGACAAGGACACATCTGTGTGACAAACCATTTCTAAAAACTTAACCTCTTTTTACCTCTGTGGTTGCTATATTGTCTCCTACTCATGGTGACCTGTAGGCTCTTCTAGCTGCTGCTGTTTGTTTGGACTTGTACAAATAGGTCTGTGGGCAAATAGTATGCACTCTTTCAAGTGCCACTAAATCTGTGATATCTCTGACCACTACCACAACAGGCCTCCCACTAGGCAGTTCATCTCTCCTATAGACTGCTTGGACTTATCTTCTTTCCTAAAAGTCCCTCAGGAACAGACTTGACACTGGATGAGTTACTTTGATAGTGGCAACCCACACTACCTGTCATCTGTCCTACTGCCCTTTCTTCATTGTATTGCACACAGATGTGTCCTTGTCTGCTCCCTGCAAAGGTAATGGATCTAAGCAAGCCACTCTGTCAGAGCAGGCTACTCATGTCCACTCACAAATTTTCCTATTAAAAGCCCATCTGGGATCAAGTTGTGTGGATGTCTGTGCTAGAAGCAGCCCTCTCCTACTCTGTTTTCCTGTGAAGCAGGTGAAGATACACACCTGCTGTTATAGCATGTTGATCTACAGAAAATGACATTTCTGGGATGTGTCAGCTCTTCTGCACAAGTACAGACCAAGATTACAGTTGATTTGTTGACATGGTGGAGAGAAGTTTGCAATATATGACTATTCCTAGCTGCTAGAATAACCTTCTCAGCTGCAAAGTTTGGACAGCATTTCTTGAAATTCCCTTCAGCCCTATCTTGTGATGGTTTTGTTTTGATTTTTTTTTTTTTTATTTTGAGGTAGAAAATGAGAGACATATGTCAGTTTTAAAAGCATAGTATTTTAACAGATAGCCCTTGATTAGTGAGGAGGGACCAATCAGTCAATACCCTAATTTGCTTTCTCTTGGTGTGTATACCATTGCAAGCAAAGGAACAAGTATCTCGAATCCTGGTAGCTTGTTCTATTAGGCCAAACTATATCTGATTAGAGAGCAGGTTATGGTCTAAAGATCTCTTGCTCTCCACAGAAGTCTATGGTTACTAGGGAGGAGGTGAACCAAGCAAATTCTTCCCCTTCTCTTCCCCTCTACCCCACCTCCGAAAAAGAAAAAGCTAAAGAGAAAAATGGTTAGGCTGGAGGTAAACTGATGAAGCAAAGAGTGAAATGGAAAACATGAGTGATAGTGATGCGCTGTTCTGGGCATGAGATAATGGATGGATCTCTGCTTGCCCATTATGGTGTAATGTCCCAGTAGAATAAAACCCCAGAAGTTCATAATCCAAGTTACCATAAGCAAATGTTTCTTTGCTCCTGGAAAAGAATATCAGGAAGGTTTATAATTATCCTCAGAATCTGTATAATGAATAGGGCTTTTGGTGCTGTGCTTACATTGGGAGTCAGGTTCTGGCTCAGCTGTTTGCTCACAGTGTGATTTTTCTGCTCCTTGGCTTGCTTACCCTGGTACGTAACTAGTGTTAGAGCTCTGCTGGGGCATCAGGTGCTGTGGAAGCGCAGACTGGTGTGCTGTGATTTTGATTCTTTAAGCAAGATCTTCCCTAAGGCTTATCATCAGTGATTATAATAACTAGTTTGTTCCCCTGGCAAAATAGGATTATGGCATAGAGATCAGGTTGTATTAAAGAAGTTAATCTGTTTCTGTTTGTAGAAACTGTAGTGTTGGAAAACTGTATTGTTTCCTGTATTTTTCTTGTGGTATTGCCTGGGTGAAATTATTTGTCTTAATAATACATGTCACCTCACATCAATTCTGTCTGAGGACTGTAATCTGTAAAGTCATGAAAATATTACTTATAAAATCAAGACATTTATATAAAAATCTTTTTTACAATATAAGGGCAATAGTGGTTCTTCCTCAAAAATATTTAGCAATGTTACTGTTAAGGTGAGGTGCTAAAGACAGAGAGGTTTCAGTCACTGACTATATACAAAATTAAATACAGGCAATGCATTGACTATTATCCCATCCATTTTTCAGTCCAATCCTGACAGAATGTCTGTCATGAGCAAGACTGTAGTGTAATTTCACAGTTTGTTCAGTCTTTGAATGTGTCTCTGAGATTTAGTATCGCCAACGTGCATACCAGTATTAGCGATAAAATTGGACTGAAGTTACTGAAATTCTTTCAGTCTAAAACATGGAATGTTTTATCAGACGATGTGAACTTTTCACTATTACCTTAGGTTGGAATGTGGCTTTTTACCCTATGACTTATTCAGAACCTTGTTTCTTTGTCTAAGTGATAACTTGGCACCCAATAACTTAGTGCCTCTCCATGACTGATAAGTCAGCATAGTGCAGAAGTTGCAGTGTTGCTAGTTTTTGTGATTTTTGCTGCAGATTGAGCAATGTTGTGTATTAATAGTTTGTATATCTGTGACAGCAGCTAAGGTTTTTGATTGAGGACCTCAGCTTTCTTAAAGATAGTAAGTTTCTAGCCTTCTTGGTTGCAGAACAGTTTGGGAACATGCACTGCATGTGTACAAAGGATGTAGTATTTGGAGACAGATACGCATATTCATTGTATTTAAAAAATCCTCATGAATTGTAGAGACAGACCCATGACGTTGAACGCTTGTGGCTGACAATGCTGGTGTGTAGGCGTCTTAACCTTTCTGCTGGCTTTCACACGCATGCCATTTCTACTGAGTTAAGAGATCTATGTGGTTTTGGTTACAAAAGCTTTTCCACTGTGATTAGCTTTCCTTTTGGTCTGGTTTAAGCTTGCTTATGTTCATTTATGGCATAAACATATTCCTTTCCTCCTCATCTTAAAATTCCTTTTTGAAATATCCTCAAAAACTTCTTTCTTTTTAAATTCTGTTCTAGACATTATCAAATATGGTTCTGTGCTTAAGGCCTGTGGTGTTTGTCTTAAGTGTTTAATTGTGATTTTAAAAAAAATACACCTCTACATACTGCAGAGCTCATCAGAACTTTATTAGGAGCTGGGTGAGAGTTGGCAGAGTTGTTTGACTCCCAAGCTGTTTAAATTAAAACACAGGTTTCATGTTGCAGTCTCCATAACCTAGACTTCCATGGGACTCTTTGTCACTATTAATGTTTGCACTTGTCAAATGGAACAAAACAGAATAGGAGAGGAGGCTGTAAGCACCTAAAAAAGTAGGTCAATGGGCCAGCAGGTTATTTGGCCAGAAAAGAACAAGTGGCTTCATTGAATCATGCTGTAATTATTTTTCTCCTGTTGGCAGATTGTTCTGCTGTGCTTTAATTTCCTATGTTAATATTTGCATCTGTATTTTAACCACTTTAGAGCCTCTGTTAGATGCAGGGGAAGGAGAAACTTAAGTTTTCTAATCAAATAAGAGATAATTCTGGTGTCTTCCATAAAATCCATTAATGAATTTAAGAGTAGCATAAGCTTAGTTTTTAGATCCCAGCTTCCTTTTTAGAATTTAATATGCCTTAAAATAAAATTTTTCGGAAGTGGTACAAGTACGTTGTAGAGTGAATACATTTTATTTTAAGAACATGTCGTGGTTTAACCCCAGCCAGCAACTAAGCACCACGCAGCTGCTCACTCACCCCCCCCCCACCCAGGGGGATGGGGGAGAAAATCAGGAAAAGAAGTAAAACTCGTGGGTTGAGATAAGAACGGTTTAATAGAACAGAAAAGAAGAAACTAATAATGATAATGATAACACTAATAAAATGACAACAGCAATAATAAAAGGATTGGAATGTACAAATGATGCGCAGGGCAATTGCTCACTACCCGCAAAAACAACTCAAAACATAGCACTGGTACCATCTACTAGGAAGACAGTTAACTCTATCCCAGCTGAAACTAGGACGGAACAGTAAGCAAGGCAGATAGAAACAGGATAAAGATGAGAGAAAAAACTGATTTCATGTAACTTAAAAATGTGGAAAGTAGCATGGTTCAAGGGAAGAAACTGTATAAATGAAATGTAATGGTGTAAAGAGGCTGGAAGTTGGTGATCACTTCTACTGGTGCTGAGGTTTTTTATGGAAGAAGAGCATTTGTGAGGTAAGTTTGGAATACATTCTTGAAAGTGTTTTTGAAGTGGGTTTTGAAAGAAGGGGTCTGTCTGAGGCAGTAGCAATAATGCAGCTGGGCAACTTTGCTAGTTGTCAGCAGCAGCATTCTACACATTCTGGAGTCCTGAGAGTGTCAATGTTGGAGACTTGAAGAGGAGAAGACATAATTGAGAAAGCCAGGAGAGGCCCAAGTAAGAGTTTCAGCAGAGAAGGTGTTTAAATAGTGGTATAAAGATGTACTTTGTAGGTAGCAAGTGGAAGTGAAGATGTAGATGATGTGGTTAATACGGAATTCAAAAATAAAAATGACAGCAAGATTAAAGATAGGCATAAAGTGATAGCTTAAAGCAGGGATGAAATTGTGTCAGAATATCCTGCTTATCAAGGAGAAGAGCTTTGAACCAAGGTGAATTTGGATAGTGAAATACTTGGGATATTTTTAATAAGCAGAATACGGCATTTATAAATTATTCTTGTTGGAATGATTACTTCTATTTTATTTAAAAAAAAAACAAATAAGTGATCATTTCAAAACTCATTGATTTTAAAACTCTCCTTTTTCATTTTTTTACAGTTCAAAATTTAATGCTTTTCTGCAGAGGAGGATACATCTAACTCGACATTGTTCTTCAAAGGAACCAGGTTTCATCCATAAACCTCACACTTTAACAAGTCCCAAAGTGTAAAAGGTAAAATTATATTCTTATAATTAATAAGGTTCCTATGGCTTTTAATCATCAACACTGAAGGGCTGAGTAGCAGTGTTAAGTAGTGTCTTTTGTTCTCTAGAACACAACTGAATTTGAATCTTAGAAACAGACATAGTCCTTGATTTCTGTAGTTTGCTTTAAATTTGACTGGTTTCATTGGAATTATTTCTGCAGTCTTATCCATTGGCACGTAGGAACGCTGAGAATGTTCAGCCTCTTGCGAATTTGGATGCAAAGACAGGAGGGTCAGACCTTGAAAAGTGAGAAGGAAATGTACTACAGGTGCATTTCCTGTAGCCTTTATGTTCTTTTAAGTATTTGTCTTGGATACCAAAACTAAGTTGCCAGTTCTGGTGTAGGATCTCTCTACTAAAACAAGTGAATGATTTTGTTGAATTCTAGAAATTGAGTGCTTTGTTAAAGTGAAATAATGACTTTTAAATTCTGAGTCTGCATAACGAAGATGTCATTTATGTCACAGGTGAGAGTTTTCTGTATTTAGCTGTACATATATTTTTCTTCTGCAGATTAAGGGAATAATATATCATTTGTCCTACAGAATTTTGTATTACTCTTGATCCCTATAATCTTACATTCCAAATTTGTTTAAAAACTAACATAGGGCTAAAAGTGTAATTAGTGCATACCTGTGTTAGTGCATACTGTGCAAGCTAAATGAAATCAAATTTCTAATTGGTGTCTTTATTTTAAACTTAATTCCATGCCAGCGATGGTAGTTTGCTTTTACTGCTGAGCAACTTTTCTGTTGTTGCATGCTTTTGACCAAAAGTCAAACATTTCTTCATAATTTACTTTCCTTGTGCCATTTCTGGCTGGTTTTTGAATAGTGCAACTCCATTACTTTATAAAACTTGGCCAACTAATTTGAGGAATTTAATTTGTCAGTATGGCCAGTGCAATTTTTATTTTGAAGAATTGGAGTGAAGGAATAGGTTTGCTTCCAGTGTGTCTTCAGAGCACTAGATTTTGGAGAATAAAGGCAAGACGAAGTTGGGCTGTATTAGCTGAAGAAGTAGGTAAGAGGACTCATGGGGCATTTGGGCAAAACCAAATGCACACCTTGTGATGTACCTTGAAAGAGATTGTGCTGCAGCACAGCTCTCCCACTTACTTTCCTCCTGCACTCGAGTTATGAAACTTTGTGGGGAAAAATACTAGTCTTGTGAAGCAAACCTGCATGGTATGTGGCTGTTGTAGACTCTGAGGCAGTTTGGTTGAAACATAAGCTTTCTTCCTCAGTTTCCCCATATATTAAAAAACTGGGATAAGATTTTCCTGGAACATTTTGCAGACTGTCTGGATCACGATGTTGCTGCCATATTTCTTGTGGTATTAACACTGCAAGTTCCACTGGATTTGGCACTCTCAGAAACAAACAAATCCTTCCTTCCCAGAAACTATGAGTCACTGAAGTGACTAAAACCAGCTCCTTTGAAATAAATGCAATGCGTTTTTACTATGAAGTTTGTAACATAGTAAAAATTCCCAAAGATATGCAAGTTTAACTAATATAAAACTTCTTGCTGCATGCAGTTGTTCCTTAATCACTGACAATGTTACAATTTTGCTGCTCCATTTGAGCAGCCTCTGACAACTGACTTTTCTGTATCAAAGAAAAAGGTTTAATTGTATCAGTTTATGTTTGACTTTCACTAACCCCTGTAATTTTGTAATTTTGGGGTACCTAAAAGTAGGTGCTTGTTGAATTATATACTTATTTTAATTTTATATTCCTTCTCTCACTATTAATATTTCATTCACATTCTTTATTCAAAATCATGTGTGCAGCTGGAAAACCAAGAACTTCCTGCTGAAACTTTGTAGTGAATAAGTGACTGCTTTAGGAAATGGCCAGGTTAACTAACTTTCTCACAGTATGGAGATCATATTCTAATGGGTATCTTATTGTTATCATTTCACGTGTCTATTATAACAATGTGCTCAAGAAAAAAATAGAGTAAGAAATAACCTATAGCTGTAAAATACTATATCCCAAATGCTTTCTCTTTGCACAGTTTCTAAATAGAATGTATTACTACCGAGGAGTGTATTTTACATCTGTTCAATCTTCAAAATTATGAGAGTCTTTTAGGTAAACGTTAAAATAAAAATGAAAAGCTATATCTGAATTCCAAGTCAGAAAAAGGTTTGTATTGGTTTAGTCCGGACTTACTGTGGCATTTAATAAAACAATGTTCTTTTGAACTCACTGTCATGTAAAATGAGATATTAAAGTCCAGGTTGTGATGGCAGTGGAGACTGCATTAGAGAAGGTAGGAGGGTAGAGCAGAAGGTTGGGAGAGAGAGGAAGTTAAAGAGCAGCTTATAGAGCAAATTAAAACTTCAGTATGCTCTAATGAAGATCATGTTTGTTCCTCCAGAATCACATTTTGATATTTTTTCTTCTCTTATAGGCAAACGTACAAATGTCTACCACAAGACTAAAGTGTGATATGTTATGTTTTTTACCATAAGCACCCATAAAATGAGCTCCATTGCAGACAGGTATGTTAATAGATACTGAGAGTTTTGGGACAATTACTATTCAATGCTTTCTTTAATAATCTTTTTCTTATGGTTAATATATAGAGAATATTAATTTATGCAAAAAATAAAAGGAGTGAGTTTGAGGCTAATTTTGACAGCTATTTTGGTAGTTGTTAGATGTGTTGTTTAATAGTCATTGGAAATAGCGATTTTTATTCTCCTGAGATTAACCTTAAAATGTATTACTTGTTTTCAGCCATGGAACAGCACATGTGCAAGTTAAGCTGATTTTTAATGTTTACTTGAATATTTTTATTTTTTTTTTAGTACTTCAATATTTGATTAAGGAAAACAAATACATTTAAATGATTAGTGATGCTGCAGATGATAGTAAAGTGACCTGCTAACCTATTTCAAGGGAAAAGTAATAGCTGAGACATGTTTTCTACTTGAGTCCTTGAGCTGGACTTTCTTAGCAGCTTAGGTGAACATCTGTCCTTAATATTCTGTCTATTACCATTTTTGAGACTTCAGGAAATGAAACTTTCATCAAATTTACCGAAAGTTAAACCTGATTAAAATAAATAACAATAAAAGCAAAGGGTAAAACTTCTAAAATGCTTGTCTGACTTGTCAGTTCTTTTAGTAAAGTTTTGTGGCATTTCACTGACACTTAAGCCTTTTGAATATATGAATTCCATTTAAAAGCTTTATGTTTCTGTAGTAGCATACAAAATAATTTCTTCCTAACATCACTGCTTATCGTAATGTACAATTGCTTGATCATTTATCAGTTATAAATCAGAGAGATGAGGTAAGCTTTTTAGAAAGACAGTTACTTGCCCTAAGGGAAGGAAACATGAGGATAAAAAAATTAAGGGTGGACACACGGAGGTCAGCATGGACAGCACTAAATAGACTGAAAGCAGACAGAAGAAGTTAGTGAAATAAAATGTGAAAGTCCATTATACAGCAGTTTTGGAAAACAGAAGAACAGTTTTGACTTGACTTTTTAAAAAAAGGAAATGGAACAGAGGTGTTGTATAAAGTATACTGAGGCATCTTCAAAGGAAAACATGTCTTTATTTTGATATTTTAATACCTCTTTAGCAGTACATGGACAGTTGTCCAGCTGAGGAGAAGTTATGTGATATTTGGTGAGAAAGCAAATATAATGAATAATTACTGTTACTGTTTGATGTTGATATTAATGCGTATCTATAAAATTACGTATGTGGATAAAGTATAGCATATTCCTCAGCTCTCTTCCATTAATAGTGCTTCAGTATTTAAGAAAAATGTGCTTTCTTACTATGTACTATGTGCTTTCTTACTAAATGTTTCCGATAATTGGAATAGAAGTTGCCAATAAGTAAAAATAAATTATATATGCCCTCTCCCATGTTTTCAAAAGGATAAGGTAATGCAAATAATCAAGAAGACAGAAAAACAAAATTAAGTGTTTGCATAGGGTTGTAAGTTCTTACTAGAAATAGTCTGAAAATCCTTTGAGTTGTGTCAGAAGTTTAAGGGTTTTTGCCTTCTCTTTAGTAACCATCCTACAAGGAGAACTTATAGCAGACTTAGTTTCAGGTTATTGATGATGGTCCTTGTGAGACATCACAGTAAAACAGTGCTTTGGTTTCTTGATGTAACAGAGATGATAAATAATGAGCTCCCACCCCATCGTGATTGGACTCCATGAGAGAAATTTTGCACTCCAACATTTATTTCTGTTTGTTTCTTTCAGAAATGATGGAAGCATTTTTGATGGGCTGGTGGAAGAAGATGACAAAGATAAAGCAAAAAGGTAAGTTTTTAAGTTATTTAAAGCTAAGAAATGTCCTATGCTTGTACACTTAAACTTACTAGGGTCATTTCTAAACAATAAAAATGTGATTCTTTTATAAATAACCATATTACTCAGCAGCATTTCTTTTACTGTTATTCTTCAGATATGTTGTGTATTTATAACTGTGGTTCAATTATTTGTATTTTTGTAAAAGGGTGCTTTATTCCAAAGGCTTAGCTTCACACCTCTGTGAGAAGGAGGAAGCCACTCTTCAAAAATGCTGTCTGAGATATACAGTAGGTGTTTTTGTGACAGTTCTCACAGCAGAAATTCTTAAGGGGCTGTTTGCATCGGGAACCTGCCAGTAGTATGCAGCTTATTATAAGAAAGTTTATATAAAAGTTGTTATAAAAGATTTTCTACTTTGTTTTTCAGAGTGTCTAGAAACAAGTCTGAAAAGAAACGGCGAGATCAGTTTAATGTACTTATCAAAGAGCTGGGTTCCATGCTTCCAGGTAATGCTCGGAAGATGGATAAATCCACTGTACTGCAGAAGAGCATTGACTTTTTACGGAAGCACAAAGGTAATTATTTGTAACAATAAAAAAATATTTGTGAATTCTTAATTTTTTAAACAATATTCACTTAGTACATAAAACATTAACCATTTTGCAGCTCCTTTAAGGAAATTTTCAAAAAAATGTAAAGAGCTCCTGAGGAAAGACATTCTTACAATAATAATTTAGGTAGCAGAGATATAACTATGTTTTTGCTAATATTTTGCAAAAGCCAGTACTAATTTTTTTTTTGTCCCATAGTTGTCAAAGAAGTCTTTTTCATAAAGAGAAGCATTTATTTTTTAAATAACCTTGAAGTTTTTAGTTCTGGACCAACGGAGACCTTTAGAATATAGTTGCTTCATAAGGCACGAGTTGTCAAAGTTTTGCTTCAGAGGAAAACTGCCAATTCGTTTCCGTGGAAGTACTTGCTGGAAGTACTTATTTTGATATTTAGATAAGACTGGTTTGAACTGGTTTGTCCCTCCAAGGTCCACATAAAGCAAGATAAATCACTGAAAAAGCTAGTCCAAGGGAAGTTGATGCTCCTGCTCTTCGTGTCGGGTATCTACACAACTGGCTGCTTTAACGAAGATGATAAGACAATGGGGCATTGTGGTCTCTAGCCAGTGTTAATGGGTGACACGCAGTGGGCATACAGACCAGGAGCATGGGCATTTTCTTTTTTCCTTTTAGCTGGAAAAAACCCCCAGAAAATCTACAAATACTTTTAGCTGAACTTTCTAATTTTCAAGACCTACCCACTGATATATAAGCCAATGAGTGTGTGTTTGTCATTTTGTAAACCGTCATGTGAAATGTCAAAACAATGAATGTCTTTGAACATCCTTGCTATGTTTTGTTTCTCTGGTTGTTTGCATCAGCTGATGGTGGGATATACCCAGATATGTTGTACTGAAGTTCATTACAGTTATTTCTGTCACAAAAAAATTCTTCCACCAAGCGTACACTTATTTATGGCTGTTTGATATTTATGTACATAAAAAAATGCCTGTTCCTGCTCCTACACTTGTTCTTAATATGGCACCTTGCGGTTCATGCTGCCAAAAACAAGATTAAAATTCAGGAAAATGAACTCTTTTGCTAGTTAACCCAGTTCCCCGAGTAATTTCTGGGCGTGCATACTAACTAGAAAGCAGTAGGGACAAAAGAAGCAGCTATAAGGTTATAAAATAAAATAAGTAAAGTTGTGGAGTGGATGAATAGGTATGTATTTATAAACAGTATGTGTGTCAATTTAAGGTATTTTAAGGTCTGATAAATATTTTTCCATGCCCTAGCGTGTCTCTTCCGTTAGTGTTATGGTTCAAGTGCACTAGATGTGTACTGAATAGTGCCATTAAAAGGGTAAACATAACAATTAAAATGGAAAGGGAGAGGGGAATAATTTGTGTCAGAATTCATAGATTTGGGGTTTTTTTGCCAATTAAATATTTATTATGCTGTTTTAATTCTCTGAGACACATTTGTCTCAAAAAGAAAAGCGGTATGAAGGCTCCTTTTCTGTAAAAGTTCTGCAGATTCTGAGGCCTTTGTGAAAATTGGTTCTGTTCCAAAATCACTTTATCTTGTATTGATGATTCTTATCATAAAATATAGAGTGTAGAATGAACACGTGTCAGCCAGTCAGCAGCACCAGTCATACATTTTTCTTCAAAGTGCTTTCTGAGATTATTTTTTTAAATTATTTTTTTTATTTTATTTTTTTAGGATAAAGCGGGGAAAGCAGCTCTGGAGATGGATGCTTTTTAGGGCATGGTGCTTTTTTCCTTCAGCTGGTGGGGCAGAGTGCAGCTTTGTGTGACTGCACATATCATATTAAGGTCTCTAAAGCTCTGGCTGCCAGCGCTTACTAGCACTGCTCTGCACTGGTTTACATGAAAGTATTTTGGACAAAATGTTGGCAAAGGTCAGAAGCATATTTTGTCTCCTGAGGTGCTTGGATCTGTTACAATAAAGCAGAGTGACCCTAGCAATAAATGAATTGTTCAGCACTGATTAGCTGCTTTATTGTTGAAAATCCTGCTGTGTTCAGCCACCAGGTTTGGATTAACTGCATTGCTTCTGGTTCTTTCTGGACCATTTCCACATTGGCCAGGCTTGGTACTCTGGCAGCAGCTCCAGATGAACTATCTGAGCTGGTTATTGGCCAGTGTGGATTCTGTTTCTCATTGGGAAAAAACAGCAGGCTAAACACACTGAAATTATATTACTGAGAGCTTCTCCTTGGCTACCTAATACTGCCTACCATCTTCCTTTGAATTTGTAAACAAGAAATTTTTGAAAATGGTGAAATACTGAAGAATTTTGCTGCTTATAATTACAACCAGCAGACTGATAGTCATACAACCCACAGATAAATGCTACAGATCTTGGCCCAGCTGGCAGTTTTTTTGAGGATGCTCAGTGCTGATGCAGAGTTGCTTCAGATCCAGGATTTGAAGACTGGAGTTTAATGTGCAAGTTTGGTTATGCTTCTCTGTCTGGTATTTAGCTCAGGAACGTGACCTCAGTGCCATTTATCTTTGAATACAACCTTCTGCCAAAATTTTTAGGCATTTCTCTGAAGTTACCAAGTGAAACAAGTTCTTTCCATGTTACTTTGGCTCTGTTTTCCAATATCATACTTGCTGTTCTAATTATGGGAAATGTAAAAGAACACCTGTGTTTGTGATAAGACAATTCAGAATGGTTTGTTAAAGGCATGAACTTCAGCTTTTATTTAGTATAAATCCTTTCTACTGCAGAAGCCAGAGTGACTTATTTCTGTGTCCTTTGACTTACCCCTCAGTGTTCATTCAATACATTTGTTCTGACTGAAAAGTTGGATTTGGGGTTATACTTAGGTTATCCTTATTCTCCAGCCCACTCTTGCTGCTTTGTGATGCCATTTCAAAACAGATAGCAAAAGCCTGATCAATTTATGTCTTTTGTGAGATCTGATCATTGGAAATTGTGGTCCATCTTATTTGTTGATTTTTTTTTTTTTTTCCCATCTCCTTGCAGCTCTCCACTTCTTACCAGTTTCTTGCATGACATTGCTGTTGTTTACTCTTCTTTTAGTTAAGTCTAAATCTCTTTTGTAAAGTTTTCCCCCTTCAGTCTGGGAACCAAAATTCTGAACTGTTCCAGCCCTTTGCATATTTAACTCAGTTCTGGGTTTTCTGTGCTCTTTGAGCCATCTGAACTAACAAACTAGCTTACGGCCTTTGTACAGACTTGTCCTTTAGAAAGCAAAAGCCTTAAAGACATGGTTTGGTTCTTTCGATTTGTCTAAAATACTTGATTCACAATTACTTGTTCAAGGTTGTTCTTACAACCAGTACTTCTGTAATGCCTTTGTTACTCATGAAAACTGAAGTACTACGCTGTCTTGCTTCTTGTTGTTTCAGTTATCAGTTGATAAGGAAGCATCAGCTTTCAGAACCTGGGGTCTGGTTTTGCTTAGCTGTTGTTTCTCTCACCTCTGTATTGGAAGTTAATCTGTGTATTTCTCTTAAGTCCTACAGGAATCTCTGTTCAGAATTTGTCTCTGTGTACAAAATCAGACAGTAATTTTGCAGTGGAGTCTGTCATATAGCTCTTAACAGTCTTTGTTGAAAAACTACTCTTTTTTTACTATAACCTTATTTCTCTACAGAAAAGAGTGGGAAGAAGAGACAGTGACAATTTTTAGTGCAAAGGTTAGAATGACCAGGATTGGCCAAGATACTTGAGGATCAGGTGTTTTAATGACCTAAACTGATCAGGAATTTTGGCTTTCTAAATCTTTGAAAACAACGCTCTCAATAAAACATTTTATTATAATTTCAGAGGAAAGAGTATTTTTCCATTGTCAAAATGTATTACTTACTGTCATTAACTTCAGCATTACCTTGAAGTCTGGCAGGACTGTAGCACAAACTGGTAGAAGGAAAGAGAAGACAAATCTAATTATGAAATAGAGGAGAAGACATTTTCTTTTTAAGGAATAATATCTATATGTAATGAGTGAAAAACAGAGGGGACTAGAGAACCTTCTGCTATTTCCTACTGTGTATACGTAGCTTAGTGGGAAAATAACGGCTTTTGAAAGTATAAATCTTTATATTGTATATATGTTTGATTGTAGAAATTACTGCACAATCAGATGCCAGTGAGATTCGACAGGACTGGAAACCGACATTCCTTAGTAATGAAGAGTTCACACAGTTAATGTTGGAGGTATATTATTTCCGTTTTTTCTGGGAGTTGAATATTTCCTCAGTGGGAGTCATTCCATGATGAAGTTTTTCAGTTTGATGACATAACTTTTTATTTTCATATTTTAATTGTAACTATACGTTTTCATTAAGATAAACAGCCAAAATCCCTATGTATGCAGTGTAACGCAAACCAGTTTTTTCTTCTAACTGCATTTTCAGTTATGTAAAACATTACAATAGAGCAAGTCCACAAATGAACATATTTACTGTCAAAGTAAAGTGGATATTTTAAATTATCAATGTAAGGAAGGTACTAGTTAAAGTTATGCATAAATTAAAATCTTAATTATAAAAAAGGCTCAACACATCCATGTAATGTGAGCAATAAAGTGTTTCATTTCTCTGCTTAATACACTTTACGAAAATGGTGTGTAAGCGTTACTTTGCTAAAGAAGATTATGTGAATAGTTGGATTACTACTAGAAATAAGCTTTCAGTATAAGCTATCATTTCCTTGGAAATCAGGATAAGTCATTTGTATCTTGTTAGTGAAACAATTTCTAATATTAGTTAAATGAAAAATATTAAAGTAAATGAACAAGCACTTTTTATTTTCATTCCATAGTTAAACCTTTTCTTTGAGGCATGGATTTTAAAAGTAAAAAGTTCTGATTTTCTGTATTTTAAAAAAAAAATAATAAAAAATCCTCTGGGGTGAATTTGCATATTTTTTCCAACAAGTTAGTGAAGTAGTTGCTTCTGTTTTTCAAGCTTTTTTGTAGCTGTTTTTGGTGTTTCTCAAGTCCTCTTACAAAATACGTGTCTGCAACTAGTGACTGTAAACCTAGAACAATATGATATAACAACTTTTTTCAAAGATGTGAGCCTTAAAATTTCCTATTTAGAAATACAGTTCTGTCATGCTTTCATGTTTGGTAGCATTCAACTAAAAGATAGTTGCGTTATGTTCAGTGGAAATAAGTTTGAGTTAAGTAGAAGATAAGGCAATCAGAACTATCTCACAGTTTTAAAGTCTCAATAAAATCTTGCTACAAGTTTCTTTTATTGAGATTGGGAATATTGAGATTTTAAATACCAAAATTTATTGATTTCACCACCTCTTTTATTTGTTCTTCTCTTAGTTTTTCCATGTCTTCTTGCTTTTGTGTCTAGCTTATTTTTCTGAGTTTTCTGATGTTTAAAATTATGATGGAATTAAAAATAACAGGCAGGCAGAGTGGGAGATGGGGGGAAACAGTGGCTAGCTGTGTATGGACTTGCTTCTGAAACCACAGATTATTTAAGAACAGAACAGTATGGGAATTGTAATGCTTGTAGTGTAAAAGCAACACTAAGAAGTTTTAGTAGTGAAAGGCATTCTCATTTTTATAATCAACTAAACGAAAATTGGTCTAAATTATTTTCCATGTTGAATATAGCTTAACATTTTTAATATTCTCTGTTTCTTTTTATTTAACTGCCCATTATGTTTAATTTCAGGCTCTTGATGGTTTTTTTTTAGCAATTATGACAGATGGAAATATAATATATGTGTCTGAAAGTATAACTCCCTTACTTGAACATTTGCCAGTAAGTACAAATTGCTTTCAGTAACAGATCAGTTTGTCTATGGATGGTGTTCTGCTATGAGTACTAATTAATCATTAGCCTTTTCAGCATTATAGAACAGATATATTCTTTGTTTTAATACTTCTGCTTTTTCTTTAGCACAACTCCTTCCTACTGGTCTGTCTCCTATATTAAACATTTCCTTTGGAAATACAGAATGCAGTCAGCACTCTGATAAGCAGGATTATGAAGTGTCAGACTAGCATCAGTTTCTCTTCAACGCAACTGAAATAACACAGTTGACTGCAGGAGACCCTTTCGAGTTCACACCTATCACAGCCTCTGCATGAGTCACAAGAGTATTGCTAAGGAGCTATATCCTTGTAATTTTTTTAAACTACTTTTTTACTCCTTTCTTGCCAAAGAACTCTTATAAGAAGTACATTACTGCTGGTTCTGCTTTTTAAGCTAGGTATATACTTTGGGTTTTACCACATTCATTCATCCTTAATCTTGGTGGTATTGCTCACTGGTAAATTTTAACATTCTGGTTTTTAAAGTTACTTGTGAATAATGTTATTCTGAAATGAGGCAAATTAGTACTCAAAAGTGCAAACAATTGATGAGTGAAACAGTTTTTTTTCTAGAAGAGACAGACAAGTTATTGTTGAAAGCTAGTCATCTTACTGTGATAAGAGTATTTTGTAAAACTTGGAGTGGCATATTTAAAAAATGATTCTGCAAAACACAAATTCCCCTAAGGTATGCATGGTGTCAGCCTGAGAATTTTGAAAAATGTACAGGTAATTGTGATTTTTTAAAATTTTTTTTTTTAAGAGTATAATTTCCCAAGTTCTCAGAGGCACATTTTTTTTTTGCTTTTAGGTGTGTTTATATATTCTAAACATACATTCTGTGATCCCTCTTTTCTGAATACTTAATCAAATGCATTTATGCATATGATCAGTTGTTTAGTTGTTCAATTTTATTGCAGTCATCTCTGTTGTTCCCAGTTTTGTTTACATAGTTGCAGAACTAATAATATGTATTCATAAAATCAATTGCAACTGGATATATTTATTGGTAACATAATAAACTATATGCTGTAGGGAGGGGCTGTCTTTTGTTCCAAGGTATCATTTCAATGTATTGGATGCCACCGACAGGTTACAGTGCCATAGAACAACACCCTATAATTTCTAATTAAAATGCTTTAATATAATTTCTAATTAAATTGTTGCATCCCAGGGAGGTTAATACAAGCTCCATTGTACCTCAACGTGTATGTATATCTGCTGCATTCATGGTGTTTTTCATTAAATGGTTTGCAGTGTCAAAATTAAGACAGATCAAAGTGAGATTTTTTCCTTGCAAAATGTTCATGTGTATTCCAGCAGGTGGCTTTGTTGAGTCGGTAATGTTCTTCTGAAGTGTGAAATTGTTTTACATTAGAGTAGCAGGCTTTGTGACATTGTATGTCTTGCATTAGTTTAATGCTTATTAAATCTTTTTCTTTCAGTCTGATCTTGTGGATCAGAGTGTATTTAATTTTATCCCAGAGGGGGAACATTCAGAAATTTATAAAATATTGTCTTCTCATCTGCTGGAAAGTGATTCATTGACACCAGAATACTTAAAATGTAAGTAGTTATTGCGGGTTAACCCTGGTAGGCAACTAAGCACCACACAGCTGCTTGCTCACTCCCCTCAGTGGGATGGGGAAGAATCAGAAGGGTAAAAGTGAGAAAACTTGTGGGTTGAGATAAAGACGGTTTAATAGATAAAGCAAAACCGTGTGCACAAGCAAAGTGAAATAAGGAATTAATTTGCTATTTCCTATTGGCAGGCAGGTGTTTAGCCATTTAAAGGAAAGCAGGGCTTCATCATGTGTAATGGTTACTTGGGAAGACAAATGCCATAAGCACAAATGTCTCCCCCTTCCTCCTCCTTTCCCCAGCTTTTATTGCCCAGCACAATGTTGTATGGAATGGGATATGCCTTAGGTCAACTGTCCCAGCTGTGTCCCCTCCCAGCTTCTTGTGCACCACAAGCCTACTCACTGGTGGGGCAGCATGAGAAGCAGAAAAGGCTTTGCACTATGTAAGCATTGCTCACCAATAGCTAAAACATAGAATCATAGAATCATTTAGGTTGGACTGTGTTATCAATGCTGTTCCAAATCCAAAACACAGCACCATATGAGCTGCTATGAAGAAAATTTAAGTCTATCCCAGGTGAAACCAGTACAGTAGTTGTATTAAAAATAATCTGCTTTGCATCACATGTAATCAGTTCCTTTCTTCCAGTGTTATTTAAGCAGAAACATATGGGTGACCTCTGAAGAACAGAAGCACTTTTTTGTGTTCCCCCCCCGCCTGAAGAGTAAAATTTTCAGCGTTGCATTGCATTTCGCTCTATGACTTACCCACGTATTAGAAATGTTCATCTTGTTTATACAGCTTCCATTTAGACAGTTGTAGCAGTTGGCAAGAATAAAACCGTAGCAGCCTAATGGGTTTTGGAAGTGCATACTTTATTAAGTTTAGAGCAGCTGCTTCTTTAAAATAGCTCTAGTTTTCAGGGGTTTTCTATGTCATTAGCATTCAAGCCCTTCATGCATGAATTCTAAAGGAGTTGTTTTCTTTAGGTTAGTTAATATTGCGCTGGTTAAAAGCAGAGGCTGTAGCCATTTGCAATCACAACACTTACAGTATCTCAATAAGTATGCAGCTTAATTATTCCTGCTTTCCATTTCATGTTGCCTGTGCGCTTCATCAAGCATGTAGGCTATTAATTTGTTTATTCTTTTCTCAGCAAAGAATCAACTAGAATTCTGTTGCCATATGCTGCGAGGAACAATAGATCCAAAAGAGCAACCTACATACGAATATGTAAAGTTTATAGGAAATTTCAAGTGTTTGAATAACGGTAAGTAATTTCAGCGATATTAGAGTGGAATACTTAGGCAACTTCACAACTAAACAGGCTTGGGACCATTGTACAGCACTTGATGGTGGACTAAAATCTCTCTTTCAAAAGAAGAGCTTGAAGCAGAGTTATATTACTTCTATATTGTTTTAATGAAAAAGAATTAAAACTGCCTATCAGGTATTACAGCTCCGCGCGTTTGAATTCAAAATGTAAGTAATTCTGCTTAATGCTTTCAATTAAAGAAACTAGTATGTTGTAAAATATTTTTAAAAGAATCTAAGAGAAATTTAAGCAAACACTTTAAAATAAAGAGCCTGAATTTAGTTAAGCATAATCCATACTTTAGAAGGTGACTAAGTAACTTGAAGATCAGTGGTACTGAGTACCTGCAGTTCTCATTATGCGGTGAACTGGGAAGTAAAATGTTGGTTTCTCCGTCATTTCAATTCTGTGCTTTCACTGACAGGAGTTACCACTCAGATAAGTGGATCGGCCAGTACAGTTTTCTGCACTGAGTTCCCTCTCCCTTCCATTGAAGTTATTTTTATTAGTTATGTACTAATATTATTCCCCTGTACTACATCTCTAATCTGTTTGGCCAGCCTGTGCTGACTAATTACTTGAGAGGCATGTTTATTTGGTCAGCCAAATAAATGGGTTGTGCATTGTGGTCAGTAGTAGATCTTCATAAAGATCACCCCCCAAAATATTATCAAAAACATATTTTGTAAATAAACCTATGGGGTTTTGTGTGATAGCAGTATTTTTCTCACAAAATGGGGAGAGGTTGAGTCTTAGTGCCAAATGCAGGTATGTACTATTATAGGAAAGACAAGAAACAAGCCTGAAAAGGCCAAATATGGTGCCAGTCTTGGAAAGAGGAGGAGTTGGGAAACTGCAGACCGATTGGTTGCAATTCAATATTGAGAAATATTCCAGAACAAATAACTAAACTATATTTGAGCTTCAGGAAGCTAGCAGGGAATTGAATAGCAACCATTGTGGATTTTTCAGGTAGAAATAGCATCAAATCAATTCAGTTTCCTCTACCAAAGAGTAATACACTGTGTGGATAAGAGGACGAAGCGCAAATAAATGATGGACTTTATTAATATGCTTTTGACAGTTATCATGTTCTGTTCTCACAAACACGTAAGGCTAGCACATGTTAATTGAAATTGCTGGAGAGTAGCTGCAGAAACTAGTTGGAAAGGTTACTAATGTTCACCATCAAAATGAAGTTTTAATGGACTTCTGGATTTGATCAGTATTTTCATTAATGTTATCAATAATGGAACGTAGTTTGCAGTCATGAAATGATGCGAGAACACTAAAAACAAGATAAGAATTCAGCCCCTATTTTAGAAAATAAATTATTTTTGGGGAAAAAAGCATACAAATTGACTAAGAACAAAACAAATTATATTAACAGAGGAAAAGGTTACAGTCAGCTAGATAGTAGTCCTTTAGAAAAAGGAGTTACTGTGGAATGTAAACTGAACATGACCAAATCACCATGATCAATCACCAAATTGTGAAAATACAAAAGCCTTTCTAAAATATAGTCTAAGCCACATGAAATAATCCCATTGCAATTCTTAGCACCCATATGTCCTCATCCAGTTTTTGACACTATTTGTCTGGAGTAAGTAAAGCAGCTGGAGAGACTTCAGACTTGAGCAATGAAAGCAATCAGAAATTCAAAAATATAACTTACAAGGCAAGATAAACTCTGAAGATCAAAGGAGAAGGGATAAGATAAAGAGGAAGGAAATTACCCATTTTCTTTCTGATGGGAAGAGCAAGGAGCTGTAAGCTTAAATTGCATGAAGAAACTTCAGTAGAAGTTCTAATCTAGAGCTGAACTAAAACCAGTTAGGCTTGGAAGGGCCTGACAGCATTTTGGAGTCACCATCATTAGAGCTTAGTAAAGATAAACTAAATTGCTGTCTGCTGGAAATGAAAGATAAGGTTAATCTGTTTTGAGGTATAGTCCATCCTTTGCCCCCTTATGATTCCATCCATCTCTGTGATTCAGTAAGTGGAATTGGTTTGTTCTCAGCTCGGTGTCCTGATTCTTTCACATACATAATTGTTGTGCCTTTGATTGTTCTGTTACTCAGTGTGCCTTCAGCTTGTGTCGTTTGAATGTGATGGAAGCCTAGAAAAGAAATACTTACCTTAGAGTTCAAAAGAAAAAGTTAGCGAAACCTGATACAAAAGAGAAATTTTAAAGATTTTTTTGAAGAAGGTGTATTCCAGTCATTTTTAGTAGTTACCAAGAAGGATTAGAATTGTTATTAGTTTCTTAAAACTGCTTTGTTAAATAATATCATATTAAGTGTAATTTTAGTTCTTTGAGAAAGTTACTTCATGGTTGTGTTCCCATTACTACTGTACAACTACTATTCCTGTGCATAATGTGTATATAATATACGTAGCATTTTTGTAATACATGTTAAAGTATAAGCAAACCACATTAGATAAATATTGGGCCATTTGTCTTGTGCTTTTACTGCCATTTTTCTCCATGCTTATATTGTAATCTGTGTTGACCTCTTCTCCTCGATCTTCCCTCAGTTCCCAACTCAGCGCACAATGGGTTTGAAGGAACTATTCAGCGATCGCACCGGCCTTCATATGAAGACAAAGTTTGCTTTGTAGCCACAGTTAGATTAGCTACACCTCAGTTTATCAAGGTATGTACAAATGAAATCACTTTTGATCATTTTAAAATGTACTCTGAACAGGAAAACTTCAGAGAGAATGCACACAGCATTTCAAATATTATTAATGAAAACCGTAAGGAATTTTATTCTATGAAACTGAAAGTGTCTGTTTTTCTTACTTCACACACAAATAAATTAAATGTTATGCAGAGCATCAAATGAAGTTGTTACAGTGAATGCCACTTCTAAATAGTCATATGAAATAGTAATATGCAAGAAATTAATTTAGAAGAAGTCCACAGGAATATAATTGAGCAAGTTTAACTTAAACAAAATGAAAGATAACATCAAGATTCCACTTTCATTGGAGAAATTAATAGTTTTAGTTGAAACTTGGATGTGAATTTCATGTTGCTGATGGTTTTGCTGTAGTTTGATACAGAAGCAAATCTGGTGGGGCTTAATGAAAGCTAACATTACTTGTCAGTAACTGAGTGTTGGGTTTGCTGTAATAGAACTCTTGTTTTGTTTCAGTACTGTTACTCAGTAACTCGGTTGTTTAAAGAGAACATTTTGCTTAACTGCTAATGTACAATGAAGCTATCTTTCCAAGTTTAGAACTGGATGTGTATGAAGTTTGTGGTTTACCAAGTATAATCCTGTTCCTCACCAAAATCAGTCAAAATAAATACTCAGGATACAGTACAGGAAAGTCTGTGATTGTGATTCAGATTATATGTTTTATACAAATATATTAATCAAAGTACAGGATAGTCTACTAGCTAACATTTGTTCTTGCAATTCAGTTGTAAAGAAATGCCGTGAAACGTATACGGCACATGGTTAAGCTGCTGTCTGTCATGCAGAACTCTTTGAATATTTAAATATTCTGCCTGTAGGTTGAATGCACTGGTGTCTTAAGCTGAATATTGTTGGTGGTAGCCTCTGAGGACATGGTCTATATACTTGGCACTTTGAAAGTGTAGTAGGGAGCCTGTGGACAAATGGTATAAACTACTTCAGTTCTGTCAGGTTGAATAGGAATTGGATCTCTCCAGACTGCATGCCAGAGAGAGTTTGTTGATTATTTCTCCTGAAACATGGAAATCATTCATCTGACACTTTTCTTCCCATGCGGGTCTAAATAATGTTCTTGCTGTTATGCCGGTGGTTGGTAGAGATGTTAAATGTGTGATTTTTGCTTCATGAAATACTTGGGGAAAAAAGACCAACCCAGCAGGATTTGCAAATATTTTTGTCTTTTAAAGTCTGACAGGTTAGAATGTACTATAGTAAAACTTCTGTGTTTCCTACTTCTGGAACAAGACATTTGGAAGTTGAGGAACATCCATTTATGATCATTCAGGTCTCAGTCTCCTGAGGGCAAAAGCCTTACAGGTTATACTCTGGCCAAAGTTTCATTCCTCTACCTGAACTTGAGCCCCTAGTGCCTAAGTAAGCTTTCATGTTACAGAGGTTTTAACATCCTCTCAAGGGTTTTGACTAGTGCTGTTCGTCTGGGAGCTCTTCTTGTGAAGACTTTTAACCTGACGATACTTGTTTATATTCTTTTGATAACTTCTGTTGTTATTGAGTCTAGCAAATAAGTGTTATATCAGGAACTTTACCAGCCCAGTAACTTTACTAACAGATGTGTGATGCAGCCAGTAATAAGATGTATATTTTAGTACTGGATTGCCTTATTTAAGGTAGAACCTGCCTGCTCATCTGCCACTTTTTCTCTTTATTTCAGATGGTATATGGTTCTGGATTTTTTTTTTAACCTAGAATGTAATTTCTCAAGGATATACAGTGCTTTTGAAGAAAGCCATAGTATTTATGAGAATAAACTCTGAAAGTTCAAGGTTTTATTTTCTGTATATGACCCACCACTTTTGTAACAAAATATGCCACAAATTTTGCCCCCCAGTGAAGGATTTGGCTCTACGCATTCTTTAAAACATTTGTCTTGCATTTTGACTGGTAAATGATTGAATCCTATCAAGGTGACAAGATTAATCCACCCAAATGTATTCTACCAGAATACTTTTTGTTACAAATGAAAGTCCTTTCTTTTCTAGATGCCTTGTTGACAACTTCAACAAGATGCCTTGTTGAACAAGATAGCTTCTATCCAGGGGTATTTTACAGTGGAATATCTGCAAATATTAATATAAATGCATTGAGTAATCAGATACTAACCTGCTGTGAGCTCCTCTCTAACAATGATGTTTTTACTGTGATTTTACTGCCTGCACTTGAAGTTATTTTTACTTTTGTTTTGACTTGTGCCAAAATAATTACATTAAAAGAAACAACAAATCAAAAGCATAGCTCAGGGCTATACACTTGCTCTGTCATTTCTTTTATTTTGCTATGAGTGGTGCTTTATTAAATGCTGTAATCTTAGGAAATTAGATGAGCTTTGGGTTTTAGGGGTAGTTTTCAGTTTTGGAGGTTAAGTCTTGCTAACTGGAAGTCACACCAAGAGTCATAAATTTGTGCCCAGAGTGATTTTGTTGATTACCTCTGTCATACTTTCTAGTCACTGTCTTTAGATTTTACACTGATGCAGGTGAGGAAAGAACATTACCTAGATATGTTCACTTTTTTCTTTCATAGAAAGAAAACTTAGAAATATCTATCTAAAGAACTGCAAAATATCCACTTAAACTCTCTGTATTATAACCTGAAAGTATGAAAAGAAGGTGGTCCCTTTGTAGGAACAACAGTTAGTCTTCTACAGTATTTTTCCACAGGACTATTTTAGTTATAGATGTTTGCAGAGCAGCAGTGTGCTCATCTGTCCACGTGTGTCATGAATACAATGTCAGTGCAGCAGCGGCTTCCATATTGTAGTCTTTAGGAAAGTGTTGTGGTATCCAATCATCAATAGATTCTACTGTGTTCCTGGCAATGGGAATACTATTGCAAGCTCCTACAAGTGTGACAAATGTGCAGGTGTCCAGAAAAGAAAGATTTACTGATCTCTAATTTTATTGTCATTCTTGAGGGGTGTATTTGTATGTATGCATGTATTCCATCATCCATCTTCCTTCTTGTAAGGCAGTACTAGAGGAGTTTGCAAAAGAAACAACTGGCTTGGGGTACTTAGCTCCGTCACTGTCTCAGCATGAGGCACAGTACTTGGCAGGGCATCTTTACCTCTCTGGAAGGGGATAATAGAAATTGACTGACATGCACTGATTGCACATATGTCTGAGTGGAATACATTTAAAACGATGTACAGAATACCTTGAGGACTTGTTGTAATAGTGGAAAAAAAATCATTCTCTTACTTTTCATGAGTTCTAAACGTAAGAACTGTGTGTTATTTGTAGTACATGTTTGTGCCCTCAAGCCAAAGTGATTTAGAGTACTCTGTATTCACTAAAAGGAAGAATCCTGCTCCTAAACTCAAAATAATGTGACCATCTTGCTAATGTTGGTTTTTACCCATTATAAGCATATACTGTAATCAGAGTGTCTGGTGGGAGTGTTTCATCTCTTCTTTTGCTTGTTGCAAGTTAAAAGCGTAACTGCAGGAACTATTGATTTCTGCTTATACTACAGTGTTTGTAGATACTGAGCTTGAGTTTAATCTCATGCCAGGGTTGTTCCATTTAAATGAAGTGAGTGTCAGTCTGGCACAGCTGAGATTAGATTCTACCTCAGTACTATGCATCTAAACAAGCAAAAACAATGAAGCTGTCTAAAAATAACATTATAACTATTGTGAAGTTATCTACTAACTTTAGGTAAGTCTGAATTTCAGAAGAGCTTATGAATTAGAATAGAGCAGTTTTGAGAGAGATTTTTATTTTTTTACTTTTTAGGAAATGTGCACTGTTGAAGAACCCAATGAAGAGTTCACATCTAGACATAGCTTAGAATGGAAGTTCCTATTCTTGGATCACAGGTGCAATTCCTTCTATGTATAGCAGCAATAGTAGCTGAATCACAGTGGTGGCTATAATATTTAGAGTCCACCAATCAGCATTAACTACTCATAGCTTGTGTTGGGTTTAATTTTTAATTTTTTTCAGAGCACATACTGTAAACAAGAAAATGTATATAATGAAATAATTTTGTTTGGGATTTTTGTGTGAAAATAAAGTGACATTAATTTTTGTATTAATTAGGGCACCTCCGATAATAGGTTATCTTCCTTTTGAAGTTTTGGGAACATCAGGCTATGATTATTATCATGTGGATGATCTAGATAATCTGGCAAAATGTCACGAGCATTGTGAGTACAACTAAGTTGCTAAAATGAGCAAGTTTGCTTTATAGATATTCAGTTTAAAGTTCGTTAAAATGTACAATTGTTGTAGTGAAATTTTGTGCTATATTTGACTGAAGTGTCTTTGCTCCCATTCATTTGACATAATTGCACTGCTGATGTTAATCTTTTTTCTTTTGATACAGACCTACAAAACAGATTTAACTTTGTCTTATAATTTAAAGTTTTCATTGTGGTAAATTGGAGTGCACAGCACTATGACTAATACTTCTCTAGTTCTTCCAATAGCATTTAAAAGGCTCTGTGATGTTTAATAAATGCAAAAATTGTTTAAACATGTAATTGAATAAGCTTTCTGTTCAACTGTGGTTTTCTTTATAAAGCTGTATTTAAATTTTTTGCACATAAATTTTTCACAGTATGTAAAAAAAAAAACCACAAAAATGGAGTTTGAGTTCTGCAGTTCTCTGAAAAATGCGGTGTAAAATTTTTTTGGTAGAAAGCTACAGTTGTAAACCTGTTCTTAGTCATTGTCATAATACTGAATTTAGACATGATTTTGGGCCATATGAAGCTGGGAAATAATGTTTATTATGTAATTGTAATATTTACAGACTGGAAAGACAGTCAACTTTATTCTTCACTTTTATAGTAATGCAATATGGGAAAGGGAAGTCATGTTACTACAGATTCCTTACAAAGGGACAACAATGGATTTGGCTGCAAACACATTACTATATCACGTATCACCAGTGGAATTCCAGGCCAGAGTTTATTGTCTGTACGCACACTGTTGTAAGGTAAGTTATTTTTAAAAATCTATATTAGAGAAAATCTGTTGGCATGGGAGCCGTATTGCTGGTCTTTTTGAAGGTAGAGAAATCATAGCAGTTTAAAGAGTCATTGGAAAACTTTCTGAGATATTTGTAAGCAAGGTATCTCTGAGAAGTTTGGGTTTTGAGGTATGTTTTTAAATCATCCAAGAACATAGCAGTCACATTTGGTTTGTTCTTCTAGTTATGCAGAAGTTAGAGCAGAAAGACGACGAGAACTTGGTATTGAGGAGTCTCTTCCAGAGATAACAGCAGATAAAGTGAGTGTCTTCTATAATTTTATTTTACGTCTTCTTTCTTTCATACTAAAAATAATATGTAAGCAAATACACAGCAGCAAGAAGTGTTTTGTCCTGTTACAGATAAAGTAATTATTTTGATCTCTAAATAGTATGACTGTTTAAAATGATAAAGTAGTCTAGGAAGGGTGTTTAACTGTATTCTGCCGTGAACACTTACCCTCCTCTTTTCAGAAGTTCATGTGCATGTAGTTATAACATGGCAATGTCCATAAGTCCTTATTAAGATCTGATTCCTGCAGAGTTTGATTCATAAATAAATTTTCTTCCTTACTGGAAGCACCCATAATCTGAAAAACCAAGGTCAACACACTAAGATGGCTTCAAGGAATTCACAAGAGGAAAGCAGGAGCTATTTCATTGTATGACTCTGTCCCACTTCTTAGAAGTATACAAAATTCATTTTGAATTAATGTTCTTGGAAGCTCAGTGAGTTTTAGATAAGCCAGTTTGTGCAGATGCTCTGTTGTGTTTTGCCTTGGCAGTTCAGTAAGTTTCATCTGACAGTGCTCCTTCTAGTGGAATTAACTCACCTTTCTCAAAAGAATAAGCAGTTCACTTATTGCACTGGTGTTCAGAGTGAATTGAGTAGCTAGAGAAGGAGGTCAGCTCAGCAGTCGGTTTGTGGCCTATGTCTCCATGCATTTTGGTTTCTAGGCGTATATGGCTCTGGTTTGGTTTCTTTTCCAAGGATAAAAGCCACAAGTGGAAACTGAGCTTACAGATACAAAACAGGCCACTACTTCTGCAGTCACCTGTGTAAGGGGGTTAATTAGACACAGCATGGTCTTAGATATTTGCTAACAGAAATGTACATTGTGTGCTGAATCAGATAAAATAATTGTTGTTTGTGTATGTCCCTTCAGAGTCAGGACTCTGGGTCTGACAATCACATAAACACAGTGAGTCTCAAAGAAGCATTGGAAAGGTTTGATACCAGCCCCACACCTTCTGCTTCCTCCAGGAGTTCACGAAAATCTTCACATACTGCAGTATCAGATCATTCATGTAAGCACCAACTGTTGAAAATATAATTGCCTTCCTAGTGAAGGCTTTCTCTTCTTTCCTTACTTGAACTAAATGCATAACTAGCCGTTAATCACCATTTTATGAAAGGTGTGCAAATGAAAATGTCCTTTTTGATGGTTCAGAGATCTGCTGACCACTCAAATTTTCAGAGGTTGTATAGTGATGTTAAACCATGACAAGTGACTTCTTCTAAAAGTACAATAGCAGACCCTAGAACACTCTATTTCAGTCCATCAGATTGCATTAGTGTTGGATAGTCAGGGTAAAAAAAAGAGTCCAAGCCTTAAGCTTTCTTTTTATTCATGAAAAGCTTCCTGTGATTTGATTATTGCATTGCAGAACTGAGATAACTATTAACATGTCTCTTTCTGTTTTAACTCTGAACATTGTCAGCAACACCGACTAAAATGACACTGGACACTAGCACTCCTCCAAGGCAAAGCTTATCTGGTCATGAAAAGACTACACAAAGAAGATCATCTCTGAGTAGTCAGGTAACTCTTCAGAGAAAAATTCTGTACTTAATCAGTGTAATTCACCTTTAAAGTGTATTATTAAATCCATATAACCTTTGCTTTATTTCTTCTGAAAACACATAATTTAAACTGTAACAGTTTCACTTGGAATACGTGACTATCAGAATTGTTATCATCAATATGCAACTTCGGTATACTATGTTTTAAGGGAATAGAATATTTAAGCATATAAGTATTTTTTGGCATTAGGGTTTGCAAGCTTGAGTATGAATCTCTGCTTTCACTCACACATAACTTTCTATGATTCTGCATTTTTAGTGTAGATATGTATATAAGCAGTTATATACATATATATATAAAAAATTGCCAACATAATGCTATGTGTGTCCCTATAGAGAAATCATATAAATTTACAACTTTTAAGAATATTAGTGAATACTTTCATATAGTTTCTGAAATCTTGGTAACGTGAGAAAATGTCATGCTTTGTGTACTTTGTGCTCATGTTCCAGTTGAACTAATACATTCACTTCAAAAATAGAATGCTTATTAAAATATCTATTTTTAAAAATTATTAGTGTAATAATAAATCAAAGGTGTCAACTTCCAAAGTTGTTGAAAAAGTTTTTCCCTTACTACAAATAAGACTTTTAAAACAGTTGTCATTGTAATTTCCTGTTTTTCCTGGTTTATACCTACTGCTTTTATATATTTTTAGCAGTGGAAAAACGATATATATGTTATGTATATAATCAATTGCTCTCATGTTCTTAATTCTCTAATATTTAAGGTTAGATATTTCAGGAAACATTTACTTTTTTTTTTTTATGTGATGCTATTTTGGAATTGACACTTTATGTAAAGAAATATTTCATGTCAAGTACGAATTTCATTCTTTTCCACTTATGGAATGATTTTTTAAATCCTAGTCTTTAAGCTCCCAGTCTCTGGGACAACCAGTAGCACAGCCAACGATGTCTCAGCCTGCAACTTTACAGCTCCAGTCTGGCATGTCGCAGGTATGGATTAAGTTGATTTATTGTTTATTATTTTTAAACAGTCTTGTTCTGAATATAAGGTTAATTTCTCTTTCAGAAGTTGAGTTCTTTGGTGCCAAAGTCACCTTTAGCATTATTCTCTTGAAAAGAGCAAATTTCCCAATTTGACAGTTTTCCTTTATTTTTTTTCTTCCTGTTATTTGTGTGGGTATAGTTTTCAGCCTTGGCCATTAGAAACATAGATACAAACACAATTTAAGATAAAATATTGTAGGACATGAATTTGAAAATCCATCAGTTATGCTGGTAACTTTCTACACATATGCTTGTAACACAAGGCAACTTAGTCTATGAAACACTTTCATGAAATAAGGATAGTGGTATCAGGTCCAACCAAAGATCTATGTCCTGTAGATAGGACATAAGTATCAAAAGGTTATATTGACTTGTGGCCCATAGCAGATGTCTAGGAAAGAATAGAAATGCTCAGCCTTCAACAGTTTGTGACTGAGGGTATTCCCAAGTTACTTGCATATGTTTTAGCTCTGGGTGAATTTTTTTGGTAAAGTGGTACAATTCTAATTTTTAACCTGGGAGAGCTTTAACATCCGCAGTACCATGTAAATTACTAGGGCTTTTTATAGAGTCTTGGTGATTTGGACACCAGTCAATTTCTTCTGCTATGGATTTTTTTTTTTTTTTAGTTCACCAAATCTAATGCATCAATTAAATGTGAGTTCTGTGACATTTTCATACTAATGAATTTGTCCGTAGATTATGGCTATTAGCAGTTTAAAAAGCAGTGCTTTGCTACTGTGGAGGAATGTATTTACTGCTCATAAATTACATGTCATTAATTTTGCTCAGCTTTTAATTTATTCATTGCACTACAGCCTGTGTTTCAGTTTTCAGCTCAATTAGGAGCTATGCAGCATCTAAAGGACCAGCTAGAGCAAAGAACACGCATGATAGAGGCAAATATTCATCGGCAGCAGGAAGAGTTGCGTAAGATTCAAGAGCAGCTTCAAATTGTCCATGGTCAAGGACTCCAGGTGAGTTAGTGTAACTGTTACAGGTTTGATCTGTAGAGAATTTAGGCATCTAAAATGAGACTTGGGTACTTAATTCCACAAGGTGATCCTCCCTACCCCCTGTCAGCTGCCATCTGGACCTAATGTGCCTAAAATCCATAGCATCTGAAGCTACTGTTCCTGAGGTACCTGCCATTTTGCTTCTGAATGTATCTGGAAGTGCCCCAGTGTGTTTTCAGTGTTGAGTAGCTCAAGCCTAGCTTATGCCTAAACCTAAATGTAAAAGGATGCAGTGGTTGTTACTTCTTGCAAAGTTTTGTAGCCATTAGAATATTAATCCAAAATGTGCAAGATAAGCATTTATTTCCTCTTTTAGCTCGAGGGTGTCAGATTGATACCTTTTGTTTCTTAAACTGTCCTAACTTATCAGGCTGTGGTCCTGCTATGCACCCTCCTAGTGAAGTGGTTCTACTTTGCATGGTATACTGAAGTAGTTACTGAGCCAGAAAGACAAGAAGTCGAAAGGATGTATTACTCAGTCTAGCAGCTGACTACCTGATTTCTGTATTTCAACTGGTATATTTTTTTTCTAATTTTGTCATTCTCTTTTCAGCAGCCATCTTTGGAAGAAAAGAATGACCCTGTTGGGTTTTTCTAGTTAAAAAAACCCAACCCAAACCAACCAAACAAAAACCCACCCAAAACTAAAATATACCTTAAGGAAATAATCTAAATATTTTCAGTGTGGATTGTGAATAAAGAGTAGAAAAAAATACTTCCTGGAAGTACTGAGTATGTTGCATAAATTCTGTTGCAGAGTAGGAGCTTCTGGCATGTAGCATTTTCAGTGTTTTATCCTGTCTAGCATAAGCCTGCCAGCAGTAGACTGTCTTATAGATGCCTCAAAAGGAGAGATTCACAGCTCTCTTCACATGCACTGTGGAGGGACCTTATTCAGGACTGTGGAAGCTACGGAAAATAGATCTAAGTGCTGCACATTCTACCTTATTACCCTGTCTTCTTGTAGTCTTGGGCCTAACTTTTTGTAAAGACTCAAATATTTTTGTGCTGAATTCAGTTTATTACAACAATGTTGGAAAGTTCAGTATAATCATGATTTCTTGATTGCCAAGGAAGATTACATTCTTGGTGCTATGCCTGGATTCTAAGATTTTCTTCATTTGAATTAGTTTCACTGCTGGAGATGCTACAAATAGAAATGTGATCTCAAATATGTTTTTATCTTTAGACAGTTGTAGACTACATTACCAGTTAGTGTCTAAATAGTACTTTTTCTTTAAGAACAAATAGTAAACCTTAATGTTTAGAGCTCTAGGAATCAGGATTCTGATTCTTGTCTTACCAGTTACAGTACAGTCTCTGAATACTGACTGTATATGGGAGTTGGGCCTTTTGCTCTAGGTGGTTGCAATGCAGTTTCAACACTTCTAATAACTAAGATGAAACTTTATCTTATATTGATATAAAATAATTAAGTTTAGATTCTCTAAAACATCTTGAACAATTAACAGATTTTTCTTAAAAGCTAACTTGGGGATTTTTTTTTAAGATGTTCTTGCAGCAGTCAACTTCTGGACTCAACTTTGGTTCTGTGCAGCTTGCTTCTGGAAATTCTTCAAATGTTCAGCAGCTTACGCCAATAAACATGCAAGGTCAAGTTGTTCAGACTAATCAGACTCAAAGTGGGATGAACACAGGCCATATAAGTACCCCACACATGATACAGCAACAGCCTTTGCAGAGTACTGCAACACAGGTAAAATTCTCATTATTGATTTTGCTGGATAGAATATGTGCTCAAAACCATAGCTGAAACACAACAATTTTTTTTTAAATGTCTTTTGAGTCATATTAATTTCTTTATGTTCCAAGTTTTACAATTGAAATGCATTTATGTTCTTGGTAATGCAATTTCAGATCTTGTTTTTATGTTAAGACTTAGGCATGTAAATAATTAATAACAAGTAGCTTTCTTGAAAGACCAGTATCACAAAAACTTTTAGCATGCCTTTTTTTGAGTGTCTATGATTTTTCTGTTGACAGAACATATAACTTGAGGTTTGTACTAGGTGAGCTTGAAACCTGGTGTCCAGACAGCAAAGAACCAGAAAAAGCATAGGAACAGGACAAGAATATATTGGTGGTTCTGCAGTTGACTTCTCTACTCTTCAGCAATTTGTCAGATGCCATAGGTGTATGACATCTGTAATGTAATAGCCTTTTTATTCTATGAGTTTATTCAGTTTCTTTCAATTCCATGTAAACTTTTGAAATTCACAGTATCTTGTAGTGAGTTCTACAGCTTTACTCTCTGTAAAATATGATTATGTTTGTTTTTTAAACTTGCTACCCAGCTTATATATATACTGGGAAACACATTGAGCAGCTATTCGCTTTTCACCTTCTCAGTCATATGTGATTTCAAAGTCCTCTGACACATGTATGTCCATAGAAGCCTGTCCTTCAAGCTGAACACTTTTAATGGGTTTGACCATTTTGCGTATGGAGGGTCCTTATACCTTCAGTCTCTGTGGTCACCCTCCTCTGTACCTTTATCCAAATTCCATACTTTCTTTTTGAGATTTGTGAAGAGGCAGACTAGTGGTGGACAGTGTTACCATCTCAGCAGTAAGCTAGTTCCAAACTTTCAAATAAGAAATCGATTGATGTGATGTGCACATTTTAGTCTAAATCTGGCACAGAGATGCTAAAGGAGTGGAAAATAGGATTTTCAACAAACAGTATGCAAGTAGCTGAAAAATTCAGGAAAAAAAATAACCTGAACAGGAGAAGAGGGTAATCTAAGAGATTTTCAGATGTCTGAGGGCCAGTCCCACCTCCAAAACCTCAGTCAGTAGAAATACCTGGGTACTTTAAATTAAGAATTCATTTGTAATAGAAAAACATTGGCAGCTGTGAAGTATGGGAAATGACAATGAGGAGAACAGCTGTAGTACCTGGCTATTTTCAATTTACTATCTCATAAAATATTTTTTCTTTTCAGCATAATCAACAAAATGTGCTTAGTGGACACAATCAACAGTCTTCTCTTGCCAGTCAGTCTGCCAGTCAGTCACAGAACACAGTCTCAGCACCTTTGTATAACACTATGGTGATTTCTCAGCCAACAACAGGAAATGTGGTCCAGGTTCCTTCTAGCTTACCACAGAACAATAACCAGAATGCTGCTGCAGTAACCACTTTTACACAGGATAGACAAATCAGGTAAATCTTCAATATTCAGATGACTTGCTATAATGATATGCTTACATAGTTCCATCATATACAAAAGGAACTAAAGTAGCATTAAAAAATCACATGATTTATTTTTTTAACTATATATGAATACAATTGTTAAACTAAACTTTGCCCAAAATAACATGTTCACAGGCTTATCGAGACCCATGTTGTTTATAGCAAAGTATGAACCTGACAAATCGCAAGTGCACGTGATGCTTGATTTATTTTTCCTAAAGAGACTCCAAATGTCTTTTTCTATTAACAGATTTTCTCAAGGTCAGCAACTTGTAACAAAACTTGTCACGGCCCCAGTAGCATGTGGAGCAGTAATGGTACCAAGTACTATGTTTATGGGACAGGTGGTGACAGCTTATCCCACTTTTGCTGCCCAACAGCAGCAGCCACAGACTTTGTCAATAACGCAACAACAGCAGCAGCAGCAGCAAAGTCAGCAAGACCATCAGCAGCAGCTCACCACAGTTCAGCAACCAGCTCAGCCACAGCTGACCCAGCACCCCCAACAGTTCCTACAGGTAATGCAGCATTCTCTACAAATTTTTCAAAGTCCTGACACTTTCAGCATTGCTAGCTTATCCTAGGGGTGCTTTATCTGAAAACAGAGCGCTTAAAATAGCAACCTATGAACAAGCCTGATGCATGAAATAAGTTTATTCTGTAGCCATTCTCTAAAATCTTACTACTTAAAGTAGAGGTAGACTTTCCTGTAATTTGACTCTATGCTTTGTCCTATTTTATGTCTTCTTCCCTTTGAATTGCTGCTCTTGCTTGAGCATGGGAGGAAAAAAACAGATGTTTCCCTTTAAAACAGTTTGCATTTTCTTTGCATTCACATATTAATGCAAGAAGGTTTGAGAGATGATCTCAAACAGAATTGCTTGGTCTGGAAAGCAGCATGCAACCCAAAGCAAGACATGACCCCTTAACATGAGGCATGAACATCTGTCTAGGCTAGAGGGGAGGCTGAGCAGCAAGTAACCTTGTAAGCAGAGAGTAGAGAAGAACCTTGTTTTAGTGGAGAAAGAAAAGACATTGGATCAAAAGAGAAGGAGGCAAAACCCAAGGAGTTTAGAGACAGGAAATCTCAAAAAGAAGAGAAAAGAACCAGAAGGTAGAAAAAATTGATGGGGAAATCTGTTGCTGTTTGTTGATTCCAATTAATTGCTGGCACATAGCTCACCCAGCAGGTGATGCTGGTGAGGGAGATGTAGTTGTAGCTGGAACACAGAGAGGAAGTGCCTCCAAGAAGGCGTGCATTAAAAAAATCTTAATTTGGCCTCTGATGTTGCCTTCTCCAAAGAAGGATAAAATCTATGTAACTATCACGATGTAGTTTGTGCATATTCTTAACATTCGTTAACTACTCTGGGAATGTCAATTTTCCTTTTTTAATCTTTAAGAGTATACATAATTAAAAAATCCTTATTTTAAAAATATTTACTATATGTGGTCTCCCATTTGCACTAAATTTGGGATCCTGTGCGCAGGTGGAATATACACAAATGCAGTAAGTAATTGGAGGCTTAACCTACATTTATATGCACAAGGAATGGTTACAGTTCTGTTTAGGGCTGAGTAAAATTTTCTTTCACTAGGTCATTGACAGAAAATATTGACTTGTTGAAAAAATCTTTCACGGGAACATACCAATTTCAGTCATGCATCAGGCAAAGGCTTTTCAGCTGCAAGTTGACTTTCAAAAAGAAAGCTGAAGAATACCTAGTGATTTGAATTTCAGCACTCATTTATGTAGTGGGAGACTCTTGAACTGAATCAAACCAGAGCGCAGATTTGTGTTGTCTGACAAGTCAGATAAATACTGTAACAACAATGCTGTTTAGCAGGTTGGTAGCATCTGTACCTCTGTTTCCAAATTTAAAAGTTGGTACAAATTTGACTTAATTCTGGTGAAACAGAAGATTTGTGAAAGATTAAGATCTCCAAAGGTCTGTTCCTGTCCTAGAATTTCTTTCTAGGCAATAGTTTAGTATTTTTAATACAAACTATTAAAGTGCTAGACTTTGAAATGAAGCAAATGCTCTTTAAAAAGGGAGAAAAGTGTTTTTCCTGCCTCTGCTCACTGGGGCAGTCTGATTCTGTAGGTGCAGCAGTCAATGTAGTTTACTTTCTGCTGCAAGAACGTGTTTCAGGACCGAGACATCCAAGTGCATTTGTACCCATCCTTCATTGCTTTTCTTCAGTAACCATCATCTTTTGGTTCTAAGAAGATTAATATTAAAACTAAGTACTATTTCCAATAGTAATAAATCTCCTTCAAAGGGGATGTTTGGGTCTGCAAATGTGGCAGTTTCTTTGTTCATTTTGGCTGGGGGGGGATGAATGTGATCTATGCCAAGTCATGTACTGTTTTTTCATTTGACTGCAATGACAGCCACCTGCACTTGTTAAAATAGATTCCTTAAGCCCTGTTATGCTCTTGTGGCTTGAAATGGAGACAAATTGCCATGTGTTCCTACTTATTGTCACGAGACATTACAAAGACCAGTTACAGCTGCTTCATTAATTGGTCAGATGCGCTAATTAACTTTATTAGTATGAACTAACCTTTGCAATGTTTGCTAGTATGAATTAATCTTTGCATTGTTTGCGTAGCTTAAATGACCAAATCAGAAGTTTATTTTGATTCAACCCTTATGACAAGTTAAAAAGCAGCTAGGCCTGTGTTTCTCAGTGCAGCAGGAAAAATAATCTTTTTCTGTTTCCATGTTTTAGACATCCAGGTTACTTCATGGAAATCAGTCAGCTCAGCTTATCCTCTCTGCTGCTTTCCCACTACAACAAAGCACTTTTACTCAGTCCCACCACCAGCAGCATCAGTCCCAGCAGCAGCAGCAACTTTCGCGACACAGAACTGACAAGATGACTGATCCTTCCAAAGTTCAGCCACAATAGTGTGGGGCTCTGCCTCTTCTTGAAGCAAACTACCAGGAGGGGGCTGCTCCACAAACAGTTGCACTGAGGCTACAGAGGTAGCAGTACGAAGGCTTTCTAACACCACAGTGTTGAGATCTACTTCTAACTTCTGGAATCTGTTAAGAAAAGCCACAAGATGATGATGGGGACATGGCCAACTTTGATAGTTGCCCCAGTTTCTGTGTTCTGAAGGATTTGCTGCCATGTGTTAATTTGTCCAGGTGAGATATCAAAATGTGACTGAAATGAGAGGGATGCTGAAAATATTGGTATTTTTATCAATCCTGTACATTTTTAAAGTATTGAAATGGACATGGAGCAATTGTTTGAATTGGCAGAAAAAAATGCCAGGAATATAGTCCAAAAACCATCTAATTTTTTTCAGATGATTACGGGACAGTAAATATTTTGAAAATGTTGTGTGAAATCCAGTTCTCTGTTGTACAGATGCTGTAAAATATTGTGTATATGTCTGCATAAAAGGAGAAAGAGCAAAATATTTTATATGATGCATGAAAATGTAATCTGTTATTTGTAGGTTTGAATATGTTTCCCTAAATTCTCACGCCATACTCAGACTAATGTTTTCCTCTGTTCTACCCTTTTGTTTACAACATGATGCATCATTATTTTCACCCTTAATGTGGGCACAAGTCTCTTGTTTGTGCTTTGTCTGTGATGTCAGGGTTTGTTTGGTGAGGTATAGTGTGTTGGTTAGTTGACTTCTTGAGGTTAAATTATTGATGAAGCTGTTTGAACTGGTGATCATGCATCAGGGTTCAGGACATTCAGATTCATGAATATCATCCATCATTTCATATATAATTCATAGTTTTATTTGAAAAATAGGAATTTGCACTGCTTTCTTGCGGATGGTTTGGAATTTTATTCCCCAAAGCTATCTTTTGATATAGTTCATAGTTGGAAATATTTATGTAAAAGGTTTAACAAAAAATGACAGTAATTTTCAAGAATGTTTCAGTTATAGGAGTAATTTGCACAAAAATATATTTACATTTAATAACCTTTTGGGCACTTTTTAACCACTTTCTCTGTGGTGAGAATTGTAACTTGTTAAAATATGTTGGAATCTTTTTATTCTCCTTCAAAAATTAGTCAGAACTAATTCAGGGTCATTTTAACAACAACAACAAAACCCATAGTGCCTTGATTTTAATTCAGGTGATAATGTTGAACATCTTGAATTACAATGTCTTGAATCTGTAACCATTTTCAATTTTGAAGTCTTAGTACATTGTCAACCAAACTTGTGTAACTACTTCATAGATATTTCTGTATTGTGTTGATTTTAATAATGGTCTGAGTTGAGACCATGAGCATTTTTGAGTGGTACTCCCCTTCAAACACTAGCCAGAAACAGAGGAGTCTCTAAAATCTTAGACCTTGAAGGTAATACTCTTAAAAGATCAAAAAAACTAAAAGTGTAGAACTCCTTTTGCAGGAGGAAATAGTAAGCTGATTTTTTTGGTTTTTTTTTCAATCATTTTCATAGCATTTAAAGTGTGTTTTGGGGGAGATCACGATTGCATTTAACACTACCAGGCTATCGATTTAAGAGATATCACTGAACTAAGACTTCAGAAGGCGACTTCACTTTATAAAGAAAATAAAAAGTTCCAACAGATATGATGTGCTATTTTAAGTAAATGTTCAGTAGGTTTTTATGGTACTAGTTTGTGGAAACCAGAACTTCAGAGGAAAATGAATAAATGCTGATAGATCTGATAATTAAAAACAAAAACAGTAAAAGCAGTTAAAATTAGTGTTAGGGAGAGAAAGCTGGATTAATCTTGAATACTGAGGAGGAGTTGGATGAATGTAACCAAATGGTGAGGGACTATTTTGTACTATGAAACAGTTTGATTGTATTATTGGATGAACCAAACCCGCACGACGGTAATACCAGTTTAGCCAAGTATTTGGTACAGTTGGTTACGTTTTGAGGTTAGCCTTTGCATGTGTCCCACCATTAGATCTTTGTTATTCCCCAGTTATAAAGCAAGAGTTTGGCACAAAAAAGCACAGCAGTGAACAAGGAAGGAGAGTGTGAGAAACACAGTACCAAAGAAAATCAGATTACTTTCTGCTCCAGGAAGCCTCTTGCAACCTGGAGCAAGGAACCGATGCCAATATCAAACATAGCAAGGAACACTTCCCCTTCTTTAAAGGGATTTCTGGCATCCTCTGGGCTGGAATAATTGTCAGAAACCTGTTTCTCTAAAGTTCTGTGTAAAGAAATCCTGCCTTGCTCTACTATCCCTACCACACCATTCCACCTGTTTCTAAATTAAGCTGCGTTGACTAGAGGTCTGTGCGATCAGTACTTTTGCTTAATGGAAAATAGGTTAGATAAAAATGTTTTTAACCAATTACAATAATAATATAGCACTAAAAAAGAAAACTGGGAGAGCTTTAATAGTGCTGTTAGAACTATTGAATTGAATAGTGGTGAAATAGGTTTATTAAGCTATTACACTGAGAATTACAGAAAATAGAGATACCAGCCAGACGGTTAACGACGCAGCTTTTTATATAAAGCTTCGTTTAAACTTCTCTTCCCATTTCCCCTTCCCAAATACTCTGGTGTGCTGCTATAGGTCTGTTGGTAAAAAGGCTAAACTAGGTGAGAGAGAAATTAGATGATGACAATAGCATGACTGCTGAAAGAGAACTATGGAAATGTATGCTTTGAGCCAGAAGCTTTTTGTAACCTCAGAGAGAGGTCATTCAATTACAGAACTACCAGCTAGTAGAGAAAGTATAGAAGATGGCGAAATTCAAAGAAACTGGAAAAACATAGCACGCATTTTAAAAATTCCTGCCATGAATCAGGCAAACTTTTTACAGAAGTGAGTATGTAGAACTCAGTCTAGATTCTGTGCAAGTATGCAGATGCTCTATTTCACAGCTGGTGACTAAAAAGTGTATATTTAAAAGGTGTGCAGCTCCCCCTGTTGCTAATCAGTTGCTGAACTGTCCTTGATTTGTAGCGGGAAGAGGACCAGGCTATTGCCTCTTTCTTAATCAGCCTTTTGCTTCTGCCCGACTCAGTACAGTCATAGACTTATTTGCAACATCCTAATCAGTAGGACAATAATGAATGCTGTGATGCTGCAGGTTCTGGAGCATAAACATTACAGAATTACTCTGACAGAAGGGAAGGAGTCTGTTAAGGAGAGGATTGTATTTATGAAGAAATGGGCTGGTGACACCTGATGGAGTGAAAAAGATGGCATAGTTGCATGGAGTTTAGGAGACAGATATTGTTTGCCTGCGATGGGTGAGGATTTGAAGAAAAGCTTCTAGGATAACTTCAGAGAAAAAAAAAATATAGCTATTTTTATATTATATTTAATATATATTATATTTGTATATAAATATGAAAGGATTCTAGTAGGAGCTCTCCATATGCCTTCCATTTCATCTAGAAGGTTTACCTTCTGCACTACGGTTCCAGTGTGTCACCACCTTCTGTGGGCATCTTGCCTACTGCCAAACACCAAAATTAGTAACCCAGTATCCTTACAAGAGATAGGTTTCATTTCAGCTTTATGTAAAAATGAATAAAATAAAGCTATATCAGGCAGTTTTTCACAGAAAAAGAAATTCTCTTAAGACTCAAATAGCACTTTCTCTTTTTTTTTGAGTAATAACAAGCACTTTACTGAAAAGACTATTTGAAAAGCAGTTTATTTCTTTAGTCAGTGAAACTGTTAAAAAGAGGGGGGGCATCGAGGAATAACATGCATAACTGTCAAGAGACATTTCTGGAAAATGTTTCTTTAATATGGTGATCCTTTGAGGCTCAAAGTGCAAGATTAAAAAGGCTTCTAAAACTGGTTGGCTTTGTGTTTTATGTGGCCGGGGAAGGGATTAATGATGATAGCTTCCTTGGAAGGAGACTTTTTAAGTTGCACAGTTGCCTATGAGAGAGAATCATCTGGAGGCTCACTTGCCTGTTCAATAATTCTAAGTGTCCCTTAGGATTATAACTTGTGTGAAAATGTTCTGAAGGTCTAAAGATGTGGCCTTTTTCAAATGTTGAAGTCGATTCGAGAACCATTTCTATTTTCAGAGATTTAACCCAGGTATTGTTATGAGTGTTTTAAATGTTGCGGCATCAGGAGATGTCAAACATGTCAGATTCATAAGTTTCTCTATTTGAAATCATTATTAAAATTAGATATACAGTCAGAGGGCTGGAAAATGGTTATTTTGATTAAAAGGGAAAAGAGACTAGTTTTAATAATTAACCTTTTATTTTTTTACTTATCCCAGGTGGAAAAAGTTGAAGAAAATTAAGTGAATTTGGATTAAAAAAGACATATTTAAACAAATCATAGTAGATGAGACAACTGTGAGAGAACATTTGAAATTGTCTTGGTTGTCCGTGAGACTGGATAGTTGCTTTTTCACTATCATGATTTTTAACACTACATTCCTTGTCTTTTTTTTTTTTAACAGGTGATTTTAAGCTCTGCTATGCTTCATGCTATGTCATCTGCATGAATTTTGCCAGCATGATATGCTATATTCAAAGAAATTGTACCTAAATAAAAAGGGGGTGGGGGGGGAAACACAAAACACTGTGTCTGAACAAAATACTGTATGGCCTAATATAGACACCCCAGCTAAGACTGAGAGATGCTGCATTAATAGACAATCAAAATGGGTAATTATTTATGAAACACTTTAGGGAATGGTCTTAAAGAAGTTACTGCTTTGAAAGCAGTTGGTGAGTTGTGTTTTTTTAATAAGAAAGGTAAAATATTTATTTTCAAATATATCAGATTGAATTTTGAGTTTTTAAGCAGTGTTGATTTCACAGTGTCTTGGGTTTCAGTTTTGTTTTGTATTTTTTTAACTGGCATTAGATTTGTATACGTAAAAGAAAACAAACAGAAAAACCCTAGTGCCGCTCATATTGACGTCAGGAAATGTAGATACAGTTCCCTGGTGTTCATGTGACCATTACTAACTGTCAATTTTTTAACTGAATAAATGTAACTCATTTAAAATTTTGCTTTTTGTAGCTTCTAAGGTTCCAGAAGTTTTTTTTCCCCCGAGTTGCTTGATGTCAATTTTATCCAAGTTTCACAGTGAAGCACTCTCTTACCCTTCCCACGACTGTCACAAAGGCACTCTCTCTCCCCCACCTACAGAACCAACTTGTGAGAAGTTGCTTGATGTCGATTTTATCTTCTCTCCCCTACCCAGACAAATGACTTGTGAGATTTCAGTAAAAAACGCATACTGTATTTTTTTTCTTGTCTTCTCTCTGTATCTCTTTATAAATTGATGCCCCACTCTAAAGGCTAGAGACCTTTGATTTGTGTATTTATATTACTGGCTTGGAATTTACTTACACAGCACTTGTTGGAACATGCAGAACTTAAAACTACTTTTGTATCTTCATGTGTACAGTTGCTGTTCTCTTCAAATGATGGAGCAGCACTGCAGAGCGTTTGCATGTGCACAGGAGGGTTTATCAAGCACAGCCCTTCCCTCAGTTTATGGCATGGGCAAAACACCCTTCTTTAATTCTTTCAACTCCCCACCCTGGATATTTCTTCTGCTGGTGAATTGTCAAAGAATAATATTTTCAAAGGAATAGAGATGATCTGAAATGTCGGCTATGCCACCAAAAAAGGAAGCGGAGACTTGAATTTAGCTGGGAGTGCAACTCGTTCAGAGCATGCAGCTCTTGCTTTGAAAAGCTGTGTGATAACGTGCAACCTGTCAGGGTGGTCTAACACTTTCTCCCTGATCGTTTTGCACTGATCAAAATGTAAACAATAATTGAAATTAATTAAATGTTCAAGGAAGGGTGGGAGGGAAGGATATCCTGTAATTGAAGCAGAATGCCTAGAGAAAATGGTAAATATGCTTAGCCATTTTTACAGTCTGCAGTTCTTTTCTTTCTGTACTATCACACTAGATGCCCATGTGAAGATATTCATCTTTTGCCTTTGGGAATTAAATAATACTTGTGCAAGCTGTATATTACTTCTACATGCCATAAGCCCCCTGTGCCCCAGGAGTCAAAACAAAATTAGCTATAGAAGTGCTGCAGTTGTAGTTAAAAACTGTCAACACCCACCAGCGATAAGACTAATAGCAGGTAGCAAGAAAGATTATCAGTTTTCTTAAAACTGAACTTTGGAAATATCAATATATTTTTCCATAAACTTATCAAGAAGAAGAGCTGTAATTACAACTGCTGCCACACCTGAAGCAATGCTGTTCAATGGCAGTTTGCTGTCTTGCAAGCTTAGAAACAAAAAACATGCTTATATGAGAATGCAACTGTTAAGTACTTGTAAAGATTAGCAATCCAAAGGTTAGTTGCACTTCACTTCTGAGTCTCAGGCATTAGTGATATAAATTCCAGAAGATTTCAGCTATTTGAGGGTAACATATAATAGGAACAAAAATGTCCACAGTCTTACGAGCATTCTTTGTAGCACAGGGTGTCTATCGCTGTCAAGACTCTTTGGCAACTGTATTTTCACTTTGGAACTAAATTGAAATAATCCAGAAGAAATACACATCTACAGTACATGCCACATGTAGATGGAGAATCTTAGGGGTTAAATGTCACCCGTGTCTCCATTGGCAAAAGCCTGTCGCTGTAACTTGCCAAGGGTGCTGACTTCAGGGGCTGTACAAGGTCATCTGTGGAAAAATGCTACGTCAGTACGGCAAGTGCCATTACATCATTATTTCCCCATCTCTGGAAATTAAGGATAACTCGGGTTATATTAGGATGAAACTGCCTGATCCTCTTAATTCAAGATCAGAGACTTTTTTGTTTAATATACAGTATCTGGGACTAAGACGTAAGTAGGCTCAACCACCAACCCCTTTCTAGAAATGTGTTGTAAAACTGCTTCACGTGAATAAGGTGGCAGAGTTCCAGCTGCTGCGCAGCCTGCCCTGAGCTGGAGGTGCAGCTGAGGTGAGGGAAGCCTGCGTGGCAGCAGGCTGCCTCTTACACCACTTGCTGGATACAGCCCCTCCGTAACTTTCCAAGTTTCCAGACTTGGTATCTGACTACTGTATCTCAAAACAGCAAGCCCAAGCACCAGCCCAGCATATACATACCTGGTTGCATGACCCTAGGAAGAGCAGGCTTGCTTGTGAACTGGACCTGTACTTTGGTTCAATAGGTTTCCTTTGAAAAACTTTGTCCTGGCACAATGGAAGATTAGAAGTTTGCCGTAATCTTTGCTTATTGCACTTTGCCACATACAGTGTAATGAGACAGGCTTTACCTAAGGATTGGGAATAGGCACCTTTGAAAATAACAAACACAAGCTTTTTTCATTTTAAGCATCTCAGTTGATGTGAGATTTTTTCATCCCAGTAGAATTGACCATCATCTCCATTTTGTTTCTCTCATCTGGAAACGAGTAGTTGCAGGCAGTGTGTGCTTTTTTTAAACCTCTGCTGTGTGCACATGCAGTCAGAGATGCAAACTCCGGCTTTAACGGCTGCTTTGGAGGTTCCTTTGGCAGCGACTGAAATCAGCTGCATCCCACCTCAGCAGCGAGAGCTGCAGGGCAGATGGGAAACCTGTGGTGGACAGTTGGCTATTTATTTCCCATGCTGCAGATGCAAGAATTTGCAGAGCCCTCCCTTAAACACTCGCTGTATTTCACGTTCTCCAGCTACAAAAGAACAAAAAATTGCATAGCACTGTGGCAACTTAAACCTTAACTAGTTAAGTGTTTCCTTCATGTTCTAAAATGCAAGGCAACCCCCAAACTTACCTCCATTTAAAAAGGAAAGAGCAGTATTATTTAAACTTTTTCTGTATTTTCTTCCTGAAAAGCCAGGCCTTGGCTGGCTAATACACCAACCAGCTCCTTCCCCAAAAGTACCACCATCTAGGTCATGGCCATGCGTAATGCCTCAGGACAGAAGCATTTATAAAGTCGTGTGTGACACGCTGCCCCACCAGTACAGCATCAAACCTGCTCTGTCATCTTGAACCTTGAGATCTTGCAATTCCCAGCCTGCAAATGGCTCCTCCAACCTACCTGAGAGCAGCTCGAACACTGCCACTGCAGGACTGAACTACAGGTGCAGTTGTATTTCTTCCACGTGAGCAAGCTGATGCAGCCAAAAAGCACTGAATAACCCTCCCCAAGCCCTTGGCTACAATTTCATAGCTTGAGCATCTCTAGAAACATCACATCATCTCCCCATTCCCCCACCCGATCACACACAGATTCTCCTCGGCCTCAGTGCTTTAACACACAGGCTTAATGCTCCTGCAAGCTGGTAAATAACTTGGCAGGACAGTATCGCGGAAGAGAGGAAGCCCGAGCTACAGCAAGCTGCTGAAAATGTGTTCCCATATGCCCAGCTGTGCTGCTAAACTCATTGCAGCTCACTGAGGAGGAAGAAGTTTGATGAAGGTGCAGTACACGAGCCTACTGAACTGCGCAGCTCACAGTCAGATAGACATGCCCCATGGTTCCCACTTTATCTCTTGGTATAAGAAGTAGAGAGACAGTTTCTTTTACTAAGAGATCAGTAACTTCCACTTCGGGTACAGGGTGGGGAAAGGAGGGGCAGGGAATGAATTATTGCTCACATGCATCAGCATCTCAAGCCTCAAAAGCCTAGCTTTCAGATCCCCACCCGCTGAATTCAGAGGGCATCACAAGTGACTGCAGCATCAGTCCGGATCTTCCCATGTTCTGCCCTCAGCACCTCCTGCACAGGGTGTTCCAGCCCAGGGGCCAGCGACCCAGCACATATTCTCCCAAAATGTTTTAGCTCTAGTAAGAAGGCTTGCTTCATCTTACCAACAACATACCTACCTCTTCAATTAAGACCCGCTACTTTAAGGAAAGTATGGGCAAAGGAAAGGCGTTAACAAAATCTGGAAGTTTTTGATGCAAACTCACCCTAAAGGGCAAAACACTTTTTTATTTTTATGTACATATATATATATATATACCCACACACACTCAAGATATTACCTGTATCTCAAGTATCCAGGTATTTTGAGACAGAACAGCACCACACACCTCTCCGATGACAATGCACTAGAAATACAAGACAGAACTATGATGAAAGCTGCTAAAATCCCAACCCCTGAACGAGCCAACAAGCAAGAGAGGTGGCCAGGGTGCGAGCGCTCTGAGACGCTGTGGAAGGACACCATTTGTGCTAGAGACAGCGCAGCAGGCACAGTGCTGCTAAAAATACATCAGTGGAGTCCTCCATCACCCTCAACAGGCTTCAGTTACATCCCGACTAGATGCTTTAAATTGTGAGAAATTCCAACAGGCACTTGACAACATTAAATCACTGTAACTAGTAGCAACTACTAAAGCACCTTTCAAAGCTTTTACTATAATTTCATGAGCTGTATAATTTCATAATAGATTTCCAAGGATAAGTCAATGTTTGTGCTTAAAAAAAAAAAAAAAAAAAAAAAACCACTATTCAAACTCACTCCTACCTGCCTAGCTAGCATTAGAGAACAGCCAAATACATTGCTGTGACTGGTCAGAAGCAGTGCTTAGCATCATGTATAAGTTTGTAATAGTAAAATATAGATGTGGAAGATGCAGAGATTTGTTCTGCAACTTCACACTTACCTCTACCAACAACACATTAAATAGCTTCATTTTTCTGTTGATACTAATTGTTTTCATATCAAAACAGCTTTAAGCAGTGCATATTAAGTTTGGATGGCTTCTACTAGAATATGGCCAATCAGTTTGGCTTTTTGGATTTTGAGCAAGAATTTTCAGCACCACAGTTCCTTTACCCAGGACACATCTGTATAAACATACTGTAGCCCAGCAGCTCCACTTTTGATTAATAGAACAAGCAGTTGTCCAGCAAACAGTTAAAAGTTTAGGCTCGTCCCTATTTTCAGTTCCCTGTTCCTGCCCTGTTTTAACATGACCTCTGCCACAAATCCCCTCCAAGAAGGAGTTGAAACATGCCAGGGACAGAGTGTGTGTTTCCAGGCTGTGGGAAAGAAGAGGCTGCAGCTTTTGGCTACAATGTTTGGTTCAAAAGGAAAACAAAACATAACAAAAACCCAAAGAAACCAAAAAACCGCAACACCAAACCAAGGCAGTGCCTCACCTAGTAATTACCGATGGTACTGCCAGCAGCACCCTTCCGTCAGGCCGAGACATGACCATTTAGACCTGGAGCCTGAAACTAGCCTGTTTTCATACCATTGTGCATGACAGGCATTGCGCTGCTGCAGTCTTAAGAGTTTGAGAAATGTGGCATTAAGGGGTTTTCGCGGCAGAGAAACCTAAGAGAAGGATTAGGGACTGCTCCGTTTGTGAGCTACAAATGGAATGGTCAAATTTGTAATGCTCCATATTACTTCAGCTTCAATAAAAGGCAGATTCATAGTATTAGAAACCACATTTTCTGTTTTACAAGACTGTCACTGAGTAGATCTTAGTGGGTTATTTAAATCATTAGCTCAGAATCCAAATCATCACTGATCTTCAGCCGTCAACATTTTCAAAGTCTTTATAACACTAGCATTTATCAGTATCCAAAATAAATTTAGTAAAATTTCCTCACCTTAAGTACGTAATCACTAGGTAAACATTTGTGGCAGGAATTACACAAACCATCAAAAACAATACTGAAAATAACTCAAATGAAGACACTATGTTTTATTAATACTCTTCCAGATTACATTTCTATTCCTAGAAAGAAAAACCGGAACACATCTAAATCTAAGAATTCCATTATTGTTCAATCCTGGGAATGGAACATTGTTAAGTTGGACCATGTTATTACTTTCCATATACTTCAGTATTTCAAAATAATAAAAAAAAAGTCAAATAATACCACCTCCAGACATTGCATATTGAACATGGGGTAGGTTGTTAATCACCACACATCAATTTCCTGATAAAAATCCCTGATTAAGAAGTTTTCCCTCTAAATTCAGTTTATAAAATTCTCTGTTGGTGGCTCAGCCACTCAATGGTATAGGAACTGCTCCCAGGTTTCTTGTTGCTTAGATCCAACTTGGGCGCACCCTGGAACTGAAGTCCTTGGAGGTGGGAGCTAGCAGTTTCCTTCTTTACACCTTCTGTTGAGCAACATGGAACAAGACACAGTCTGCTTCAAGAAGCCTTAAGAACCAACTCTTGAAGAAACAGGAAAGGTGGCCATGTGTAACAGAGGAAGAAAAGAGGAAGCCTCGATACTTATGAGTAGATCCTCAAACCTCAGCTGAGCCAGGTCCCACAAGCAAGAAAACCACACTAGTCCCACCAAGGGAGCAGGCACCACAGAATAAACAAACCAGGCAATAAGCAGATCTCCACTGCAGAAGCTGTCCATAAATCTGTCAGTCCCATCAATCATTCGCTATAAAAAGTTCAGTGTCTCATCTTCAGTGCTTAACTATAATTCTGTACATTATATACAAAAATGCACAAGGATAGCTGCTTGATGCTTCCAATCCTTGTTCTTTTGCAGTGATGAAAATTTTTAAAAACCAGAGTCTGGACTTATAAATAGTGCAGAAAATGCAAATGCTAAGAAGACAATGCCTCCTATGATTGTCACTGAAAAGAAAACAGAAACCAAAAAGAAATTAGATACTGAAAGTTAAGTATCTCCCATGACACATTACAGATTTTATTTTTTTTTAAATGTCCGATTCCCAAATAACCTTACTTTAAAATTTATGCTGCAAACAGTGGACATTGTTTCTAGCTCAGTGTCAGGACGCCCATATGTCTAACCAATATGCCATCCCACTGTCTAACTCCATCTACAAGAATATATTCCGGTCCTTAGAAAGAAGCTTGGTTTTACTCTTACTACTTTACCTAGTATAAAACTGAGGTTGACACCTGCTGTTGAGTATTTGGCTGTATGGAGGAAAATAAAATACAATATTCTCATGCTGGAGCAAGCCATCAGTTAAGAGTGACATACTAATTAGCATTTTTTGCACAGTTTAGGTAACTATATTGAAAGAGATAGTGTCAAAAATATTAACTGCTTGCAATGGCCACAATCTGCTAGAGGCTGGGACAGTATTCCAGGAAAGCACCACTGTATATGTTCTCCTACTCTCCTCTGAACAAACTAATGGGCTAGATGGATCTCTGGTCTAATCTAATAAGGCTATTCCTGTGGCCAAAGATCCACAATGAGATTATTAGGAGCATATTAAATCATTGTTAGATTAGCATTTCATCACCAATTTCCTTGGCAAACAAACACAACAGAATGCATGTTTCACTTTTTGCAGTGAAGTTGGTTTTTTACAACCTCTGCAACTACAGAACAAATATTTATAGGAAGAAGCTTCACAGAATCCTTCCCAGGAGCAAGAAACCTCACTACATCACAGGACTGACAGTTGAAGCAAGCTGCAACCTAATCTAAGAAAAAAAAAAAAAACCAAACAAAAACCCAAAACCCAATGTAACCTTACTGGTCCTTCCTGTTACAGATAGCAGGTATGATAAAAAAAAAACCAAAACATTTCTGCCACACACAGAGTAGCTTTTAAAGCTTTTATATGGCTGGCATAACTTCTAAGTGTGCAGTTCTCTTGCTCACTTGGAAGGTCTCCACTCAGAATTGCGACAGAATTTCCATTATTCACTGTCAAACAACACATACCCACTATTCAAAATACTGTATTTCCTTCCTCTGGTCTCCTACAAGCTAGCTAACAGTGAAGCAAAATGTGTTTCACCTGTGTCCATCTTTAAACAGCTACAATACCCATTTTGATTCCTTAAATTGGAGTCAGTAAACAGTTAAGTTCAATTAAGGCCAGACCCCTTACAAGCACACTCAGACTCTGCCTGGCAGGAGGAATGAGCTGCGTAAGGGGGAGCTGACTATGCAAGGGGGCGGAAGGGGGTAGGGGCGACGATGGAAGACACAGACAAAAAACAAACAAACAAACAAAACTTTTTGGGTTTTCCAAAAGTTTTGAGAAACACTGTTCCCAAGCATGTAGTTATTTAGACCACAAACATTACCAGCATTAATGCATTTTTTTGATTGGAGTGAGTTTTCACTTACCAGTCCTAACAGAAATTTTTTGTGCTATCATTCTCCCTCCGATAACTGCTAAACCAGTGCATAGGCAATGTCCCACTGTTCCTCCTACTGCCACACCATAGGGGTCCTGAGGAAAAAACACAGAAGGGAAACATCAGCACAACTGAAAACCCAAGAGTCCTACAACTACCTCCTGCCACAGAGGAGCAATGCCTTGATTCCCTGGGTGCACACTGTCAAGCATGGAGGATACTCTCCGGTGTTTGCTCTGCTATCCATCACTGCCTTAAAGACCAGTAACAGTGTACATCAGCTAGCAAGACAGACAAATCTAAACCTAACTAATATAGGAGCACGTGGCATGTTTCAACCAAGAAGCATCTTCGAGTCGTTAAATATAGATCCAGAAATCGCTCTGCTGTACTTAAACAATTAAGCAACCTCTAGAGGGAAGGTGGCAGCTGTTGAGAAACACAATATGCATCAGCTGGAAGAATACCAACCTAATTATAAAGAAAGAGAAAAATAAATCCATGAACTGCAAATGAAAGCTTTCAGCAGCTAAAACATTCCGACTCCTTTGTCCAGCTTCCCATGCTTGTGCTCTACACTCTGCCCTCTCCTGATCATCCAAAGAGGGAAGTATGAAAGAATTTAAGTCCGGAGGATAATAAACTGTTCTCAAAGTTTATTGTCAATGACAGCTTTCAAACACTGTGTAACAAGCAGCTACTCAATATGTGAACAACTCTACTATGTAAAGAGGTTTCTCAGATCTACTTACAATTTACACAGATAAGGGCAGCATATGTATTGAACACCTCATAAAACAGAAGACTTCAGCATTAAAACCAGAAAACAATCTTTTAATGACCAATAACGAAGGCAAGGTAGGAGCATGACTTTCTGCTGTACAAAGATGAATGAGGGAAAGTGGAGTTGAGTCCCTTGCACATCTCTATGTGAGACTTTTAGCTCCAAGAGGAAAAAAAAGCTGCTGCTGTCACATGAGGAATGCATGAAATCTCTAACAGGCAAACAGCAAAACTGTCTAAGAAATTATACGGTATGAAGACAACACCGACTAGCTAAAAGTACCAAAACTACAAGCCAGCGAGAAAAGGTGGCAAGTACCAAGCAGAGGACAGGTGGGAAACCACCAAGAAGTGCAGGTCAGAAGCAGGGCTGTGCCAGCAGAACACACTTGCCTCCAGGATCAGGACCCAAAGTTCCCAGAAATCCCTGTTTCCCTGTGGTCAGCAGTTACCTGTACAGCTCCCACTGGCAGAGGGTGGATCTCGCCCCCCACCCCATTCCCTAGAACTGTCCCTGGAAGGCAACAAGTTACAATGGCTTCCCTCAGCATAGTGTCTCCAGGAGCAGAAGTGCTCAGATGCAGCAGGTGAGGCAAAGCCAGTCTAGTAGGACATGGCGGAGTTTCCTTTTCTGTTTCCTTAAACAGATGAAAAATTCTTATACACAGTAAACTATTAAGGTGTGAAATCAAGTTCTTAAGGACTGTTGTCAGGACTAGGTTCATGCAGAAAGACTTAACTGATTCTGCTGGTGTATGCACCGAGACTGCCAAATGATCACTCTTTTTTTCCTCCAAAGGAGCCCTATTTGTTTGTTATGACAGGATGGACACTAGTTTCTTAATGAACAGTCACATAGTATTTTGTTTTCTTTTCATTGAAGAATGTATGGTCACAGCCAACTTACCACACTGCTCAAATCTCCATATAAAGATAATTTCTTTCCTCATAAGCATTTCTGTAATGCTTCCGCTATGTATCTTAGTACTTCACAGACACAGATTTATCTGAATGTATTATGAAACAAAGGGGTATAAAACAATCCCACAGATAAAATGAAAAAAGATACAGATCATAATCATTCACTGATTTGGTAAGCCAAGATGAAGGTATCTTCAACTCATTTTTTGTAGTATTTGTTTTTGTAGCACTTATACAAATACTTCATATGCTAAAGGCACAACATCCCAGAGTCTTTAGTTGCAATGCTGAGCACTTCACAAACCAGACCAGTATCTGATGGACACTTCCTAATGGGACACTCAGAAAACACAAACCAGAAGTCAACAACAAAGAAGGGCTTCAGCAACTTGCCTAGCATCATATAAAAACTTGGGAAAAGGCAGTTAACGGTTCCTCATTTTCCAAGATGGCGTGTAACTGCCTGAACAATGAGATCATCCTGCTGTTCCCTGCCTTCTTAGCTCTAAGCACCTTCCTTACACTGTAATAGAGACAAGAGATTCCTACAGATTACAGTCTCTTTCATTACACAGCCCTGATTTATTCCTAGGGAAGGTCTGAAAGTGCACTGAAAGAAGCATGAGTCCTACGGAAAAAATGTAAATTATCTCAATGCATGAAAGAGCACAGACAAGCTACTTATGTTTATTACAAGGTTGACTATAAGTTTTAATTTTCCTTTAAATATAATACAGTTATACACATTCCAATCATCATGCTGAATATCATTTCATTTAGAGTATTACTTACTGCACAGCAGTTTAGAGTTTATTTTAGTTCTATACACTGTACCATATTCACTTCTGATTTTTAAAAGGAGGTAACTTTTTAACAGCTTTAAGTTTGCTGGGATGAAGGTCTCTCTTTAAAGCTACTGTGTTAAAACTGTATGACTGCACAGATCAAAGAAACATCTGTTCTGTAACATCGCTCAGCACTGTAACAAAAAACAATTGTATTCAGCTGCATGATATAAAACAACTATTTCCAGAAATGCCTGTGCAGTCCCAATCATGTAACAATAGTTTTAATACTACACAGAGCCTCAGTGCATTTATCTTCAGGTCTCAGCACAGCTGTAACACTAAGTAAGGCACAGCAAGGCAGCAGGTACAAATCTGATACCTCCTGCAAGAGTATTTTGTCTCTCCCACTTCTCTACAGGCAACCCAAAGTGGGCAAAAGAACAGCGAGCATTCTGCAACACTCACCTCTCTGGCAGCCAAGACTATGGTTGTTAATTGGGAACGATCACCCCATTCTGCTAAAAATGTTAAAGTAAAAGCTTGAACAAAGATTGGAGAAATAAAGTGTAGCCACTTCTTCTGAGGTATAGTGGTGCCTGGCCCTGATTCCACATCTCCTGGCCCATTTAACAGTTTAGTTCTCTGAAGCTGTGGAGGACAAGGGAAAAACAAAACAAAACAAAACAAAACAAAACAAACAACTGTAAGATTAGAAATGTCATCTAAACAACCCAAATGAAATACTTACACAGTAAAGCTAGCCATTTAGTATCTGGAATTTTATTAGCCTGTGACTGCTGCATTATCAGTGTATTACTTATATTAAATACCATTTTAAAAAACTAGCTACATACATGCACACACATACGTGAGTGTACATATACACACACATATATATACGCACACTTGTAATCACCTCTAACCTCCAGTTATTGTCCATCTTGTACTGCCTGCACTTAGACAGCAGTTTCAGTAGGAATGACACCTGATTTTTAACCACAGATTTCCTACTATTTTTAAAGCAGGGATCCCCCTCTTCCCAAGTGGTGGCTGTCTTATTAGGATTTGATTAAATAAATAAATTAAAAAGAAATAAGATTAATACTCTGCACTATTCCTTAGAAGTGGACCAGTGTATTTAGAAAGTTATTATAACAGAGACTTTTGATGCAACATTACAAACCTCAGCATTAATCTGCCTGGCCATAAGAAGAAATAAAAGTAGAGGCAAGAGTAAACTGTTAATGTCCTCTTTGCTAGTAATGCATTTAAAAAAAAAAAACAAAACCAACAACAAAACCCAAACAAACAAAAAAACCCCACACTCTATGGCCAAAGCTTCTTTTCTCCTGAGAAGCCAGGCTTGCCACAGAACTGGAATCACCTGTTGAAACAGCCTCCAGGGGCCACTTCTGTCCCATTTACCACACGTTTTCTGTGTCATATTATCAATCACAGACACAACTGAACACCCCAAACAGGACAGTGCCATTCTGCAGCTTCATGGCTCTATTTCATCAGCCACAATTCACAGAAAGTTGATGACTTACTTCCTCATCTTTTTTTTTAATTTCTGCTTGAACTTCCTCCAGCTCTTCCTGACCCTCATCTGGACTCATTTTCAAGCCTTCCCGAAGCATTCGGATGCCAAAAATTGCAAACAGTGCCGTTGATACATAGTATGTGTACACACGAGGAATAACTGTGGTGGCATAGCCAAACAAAACTGAAAAGAAAACAAATGCGTCATTTAAAAAAATAAGCATGAGGATCAGAATTGTTTTTCCCACATCTAAGAAATGCTTGCTAGCAAAGTCTGCAATTCAAATACCCACCAGTAGATAAATATTGTGTCTTTTATTAGTTTTATATAATTTTCTTTTTTTTTTTTCAGGATAACAACACTCTAGAAACTCCAACCATTACTGGTCATGCCAGCAACTGAAGTCCATTAACACGCAGACAAGGCATACCAGGCAAAGTTGATGTGCTGCTATTCCCAAGAGCCAGTCCAAGCAACATTATCTTTCCCATCAAGGACTATGCAAGTCCTGCCTTTCTCCAAGCATGCCATGAAACTATCATCTATAATCATGTTAGATTAGTCACAGTGTATACCAGTTAATTCCATTTTTATATATGACTACATGTTGGATAGCATCTCTTTCCAATAATTTTATTTATCATATAAAGTTATAATGAGATTTTCTACAAGTTAAATCTACCAGACATACCCACAAATCATCCAGCTGCGTGGATCCACGTCTGTCTTCTTTTGCCAAGTGCAAATACCTGCACGCTGCTATTCCCTTCTCTCCCACACTCCCCACAAATACACAACATAACAACTTTGATCTTCCTTTAATTTAAAAGCATTGATCCCACTCAAAGACCAAAAAGCTACCTCCACAGTGCATCTACTTTTATGGGTATCGAAGGTGATCAAACTAAGCCAAAACTAGTTCTCAAATAAGAAGAAATATGTATCCAGGACAAAGTACTTCTTCACAAAGTAACACTAGTTAGCATTTTTGGACAAAAAAGGCCTGTATAAATGAAAGGAAATTAAAACTCCACACCTAACATTCAAGGCTGCTTGGACCATGCGCTCACAACTGTCTCTGTTGATTTACTCCACATGCAATTAGCTAAAAGAAAGGATACTACCATGTGTGTTTTCTTGAACGCTTTCTTAGTTGAAAAATGCACTTGGAAGTTATTACATAATCTGGAAATTGATCTGGACTGCCACTACTAAAAGACTATGAGACCAAAATTAATCAGGCTGTACTATCAGCAAACACAGCACATACACGCATGAATAACAGTATTGGTTGCACAGCTAATTAAACCAGAAGGAGTTAAACTAAACTTCTTTTTAAAGACTGAAAATACTAAAGCAAAGCAATGCAAGAAAAAAATACAAAAAGATATTTAATAATTTTTTTAGCATTACTTGCATATACAACCATAGCCATAATGAAATAATCAGAATGCTAAGGCAGCTTATTTTGTCAGGCACAGCTTGAAAAAACACCCCAAGTAGTGATTACTTGGAGCTATTAAGTTTAAGTGAGCGTGTTTTCATGAAATCAAGGTGGGCAAACCCCCAGGAATTTCCAGACATAGCTTGTATAAAACAAGGGCAGTGGAGAGAGGGGAGACGGGTGGAAAAAAAAAAAAGGCTCCTTTCTGAAAAGGAAGAAATAGTTGGGAACCTCTAAACTGGGGGATAAAACATAAAAGAAAGCTTTTATGAAACAGCATCAAGAAGATGTGAAGAAAGACTTAGTATAGAAAAAGAAAGAGCCGTAACAGGCAGGAGAAAAGAGATCGCAAGATTTAAAGAATAGCGCATCACCTATGGTACTAAACAACATTAAATGAAGCAAGCAGTGCAGAAGTGGAAGAAGAGTCAAAGACTGTTAGATTAAGTGAGTAATAGAAGAAACTCATACAGTGCTGTCATTACACACAGTGCAAATGGAAACTGCTCTAAGACTGCAATAATAATTGCAGCAGTATATATAGCAACAGCTACACACCCAAAAACCTTTCATAGAAACACTTGCTGAGAACCCTGAAGCCAGTTAATCGGCTGTCTCCAGTGTATAGAAACCAACGAACACTATTTCAATTATTTCTGAAATGGGCATAGTTAGAAATGAGCACGCATACAACAAAATTCATGCTGCATCTGATACACCTGAAGGCTGCTCCATTTTACGATCACAGCTACGTAAGCACCCACAGCTACAGGTTCAAATGCCACCTGACACCTCGCTTCCCACCCAGCTCTTGGCTTTGTCAGTACCACCCATCCCAAAAGATCGTGGCAGAACGTCATCTTCCACTTATGCAGCTCCCAGCACAAATCCAAACAGCTACACATATGGGGATACAAGTCAGACGAGGGAAATTTGTCATCATATTAAGAAACTTTTGCCTTAGGAGGAAAAACAGAAGTCACTCCCACATTCCCTTTAGGCACTGTAATTAAACAGGAGCTAAATATAAAAAGGAAACCAGTGGCCCAAAAATCAAGGAAGTGCTTAGGCTCCCAATTCCATTCCTCTTCCTTAAATTCATATTGAGGTCTAAGGAGCACAAACACCTCATTAGAGGTAAGAGCCTAAATATTCAATCTGAGCCATGGTCCCCAGGAAAATCTTCACACTCTCCTCAAAACAGAAGACTGCACATACCTACTACCTTCATTTTAATTTCAATTAAGATTTATTGATAAATACGTACCCAGCACGTTTTAAGTGATGAAGCAAAAAGAAATGAGTGCTAACCTGATAAACACGTCATCAGTCCCAAGGCAAGCATAGCACCAGCCAGTACAGTCAAACGGTTGTACCGCATTGCCATGATGGCTGCAATGAAGAAGGTCTTATCCCCCAGTTCTGATACGATGATGACCGATATAGCAGCCACAAATGCATGAATAAAGCCCAAATTAGTCTTGTCAGCTGACTCTTCATTGACAATGTGAACTGGAGCAACTGGCGAGGACCCCTTCTGTAAGAGCCGGGGGAAAAAAAAACAACAAAAACCCCACTAGTTAATTAGGCTTGAATAGCTAGTTTGCAGACGTACTGAGCCTTGTGTTTCTCCTGTCATACCATACTGCATAGTGTGACATTTTAAGTATACACCTCTCACGCAGCATTAATGATCATTAACTAGTTACTGGCTGCCACCTACCTCAAATCACTAGTTAGGCACTTGGCAAGATCAGATCATGCACCGATTATTAAAGCAGTACTTCACTGCACACACTATTACCAGAACATGAGAACCACTATTACAACAGAATATGGGGAAAGCTGCTTTAGTTCAGCTCTAATATCGCTGTCTTTACAATCCCTGGCTATTTATTTTATGACCTTGACCAAAAAACCAATTTTCTGATATAAAGAACTAAACTCTTCAAACCAAAATTGGGTGACTAAGATAGATTAGGAGAAATACAAAGTCCTTTCAAAACCTGTCATAATCACTTTCTTCCCTTGCAAAATCTTTGCATCTCAGACGCATTAACAATTTGTGCATGTTTTCATCAGCTTTTTGTGTTTTTTGCACATACCCTATGTTTTTTGAAAACTAGCTTTAAGACTTTCCAGTGGTCAAACTGGACCAGCACACTCCAGATCTCACCTACTCAAGTGAAGTTGTTGACTTTTACAGAGATTAAGATATCTACAATCAAAAGCAAGACCCAAAAGAAGGAAGACGATGTTCACATACTTGACCAGAAACGGCTAAGAAAACTTGTTTCAGCACATCTACCAGCAGAGACAGATTGCAACGTGTTCTAACATCGTGGCTTCCCAGCATTCCACTTCTAGCAGTGCTGCAAGGTTTTGGTTTTGAAATTTGAAAGTTTCCATGCTCTATATGATACACGGTGATTTCGCAGAGCTCCTTCACCTTTAGCAGTGCTGTAAATTTTGGGTTTTGCCATTTAAAACTTGGTATGCTCTACATGCTACGTCAAACCATACGTTAGTAATTTCTTCACCCCTCTGTATGATCCCCCGGCACTAGAATCCCCTAACCAACACCACCGTTTAAATAGTTTTAACGCAAAGAAATTAAGCATCGAGGAAAAACTGGCGGGTTTCGAGTCGCAACAGAGCCTGCCTTCATCTGCTTCTGTGAGGAAGAAGACCTGGAGAGGTCGGTTCCTCCCCTCAGCAGGCAAGCAAGCAGGGCACAAAAATGTTTATGTGGTGGAAAAAAAAGGACATTAGCCCATTTTTCACGTCGGACCCAAATTCCCCTCTTTCTGCTAAAAGAGGGGAATTTGGGAGTCCGACAGCCTCCGAAAGGCGAGGCGTCCTGCAGGCCGG